CTCTTTTAAGTTTCCGACTAAACAATATTTCATTATAACATACAAAACATTTTGATGAAATGAAATCAACAATCATTTGATAGTTATATAAGGCCGTTTCGTTGATGAGCGTATGAATACTTGATTAGGTAGCTTGTATTGACAGTCCGGCTAATTTTGTCCCTCTGTCCACCCGCCTTCTTTGTGGTCTCTCCTCTTCTCTGGGTCCTCGCACCTTAAGTATTGATCGGCTCAAGTGTTTCTTCTCCGGGATCCACACATCAAAGACTATTACGATAATGGAAAATTAAAACTCTTTACTGTTATTGCATACCAGATGGACATCTTTTAAAAACATATAAAGAACTATATGGAGAGAAAAACATTTTTTTTTTGGAGGGGGGGGGGTAAAATTCACCTATAAATTTAATATTGATATACATGTATAGTCAAATGCGTGTTTGATGCTACAGTGGTTGAATCCGTGAGATCATTATATGATGCAATGTACAAAAAGCGTTCTTAAGAGTTAGAGACGTTCCACAGAAGAAGAAAAAATAAAAGGTCGGGTAAAAATGGCATAATCTCAAAATGAGTTGTAATTTCATTGAATTATAGAGAGCGGCTATCTTAAATGACAGATTGTCCGCGTTACTACTAGAGACGACATATTAGAATATCACTGGGCCCGAGAACCTGTCATTATTTTCATAAACCTTTCCAACACGATTGAAATAATTACACACAGACCGAACACGTTCTTTTAGCAGATAGAAGATGACAGGTTTTCAGTATGCTCAGTAAAGTGGAAATGTTGACTGGAATTCACAGAAAGAACAAAAAGATATATGAAGCCATGCGCACTAACTGCAAAGTTTATTGAAAAAAGGCCGATTCTTTGAAACGTAGTCATATTTTCTCCAGATTTCCGTAGATATGTAGTACGCTTTATATACTTAACAAAATCGTATTAATTTTATTATGATAACATAACCAGGACCCTTACTTAATAGTTTTCAATGAATTTCTTATGGACTCATAATTTTTGAAACGCAATATTTTATCTATCGAATAGCATAAGTCTTGGTGATTATATTTCAGCAAAATATTTTACATAAGAGCAAGACATGAACAACTTCCAAAGGTTGTTCATCCATGATCATTAATTATGACCCCCTTCCGGTTGTCTTGGGAATGTTTGCATATCAAAGTGACTTAGTGTCACACTGCTACTCTTGAGGGGAAAATGCTTCTATGAATTTTCTATAAACATTCCACTGCTAAACTATACAACGAAAAATATTTCTTTCTCGTTTCTAAAGAAATGGGCGTGTCATTATGTACAATTAATGTTCGATGGGAAACGCCCACTTCCATTTAAACCATTGTATGACCCTTCTTGTTCTTCATCAGTAGATTCTTTTTTCTATATCTTCCCATGTAAAACTTGATAACCCTTGCCAGTGTCTACCCCCGGGGACACGATTTGAATAAAAATGAAATTTTGATCGGAAAAGCTTGATTAAACCTTTGCCTCGGGTTAACTAACTTACAATACACAAAAACTTATTTATAAGTATAATGAGGGAGCAAAGGTTACTATTCAACATGGTATTAGTGTTAAATTTTTGACTATAATGTTCAATGTTTGCAATATCAACACCGAAGCTGTCACCACACTACATATAAGTAAAAACATCTGCTACCACTGGTTAAAAAAATCCCAGTAAGTAGAGACAACAGTTTGGATTAGACAGCGTTTTTATTATCTATTGAACGTTCTGAAAGACACTGGAAGTTTACACGTGTTAGACAAGATCCCGGAATGCACAACACCTGCATTAGTCAAGTTTCACTGTATTGCATGGTGGCATACACATAAACAAAGCTTCCACCCTTTGACCCCCCCCCCCTCCACTGTCGTGAAAGCAAGGGTACATCAAATCTCAATCGTCTGTAAGTCTGTCCGTCTGTCACCATAAAAATCTAACCTTGGCCATATCTTTTGAATGAGAAGAGAAAGAACTTTCATATTACACGTTTATTACCCGTGACAAGACCTTTCTAATTAAATAACACTATGATTTTTGATCCAGTGACCTTGAAGTTTGACCCACTTTTCAAAAATTTAAACATTACTTTAAATTGGCCAAAACTTTTGAATGAGAAGAGATAGGCCTTCGATATTAAACATGACTATTACCAGTGAATCACAGTATTTAGAAAGGTCTTATCACAGCCTGTTATAAGATCTTTCTAAGTAAACTTTGATTTTTGACCTCATGACCATGACCTTGAAGTTAGCCTACTTTTAAAAACTTTAACCCTGGGAATAACTTTTGAATGAGAAGAGAAAGGGGTTTCACATGTATATTACCTGTAACATTACCTTTCTAAAAACACTATGATTGTTTACCCCGCCATCTCCTTGAATCTTGATGTTTGACTGTCTTTTCAAAAATGTTATTTTTTTTCCAAACAAAGTCATGGAAAAGGGTCAACAATTCTTTGAATTTAGATCCAAAAATCTTTGTGAAAAAACGCAAAATTTATTCCTGAGAAGCAATAAAGGTTTTCACTAAAAATTTACATTTATGTTAAAAATTAAAAGGGGACGTTTTTGTCATTCAAGATTCATATTAACATCTCTAGGAAATGAATGGCATTCTCCTCATAAAGAACCCAGATATTAACTTTACCATTTATTTATCGTAGTATTTTGATGGGACCAAGAAAATACTTCCAGATATCTGAAGATTTGAGATTTCAAGAGTTCAACTGTAGGTCCATAATTACATTAAGACAAAAATAATACCATATCAAATGTAATACACAGAATTTTCTTCATCTGACAACCACAAAAACAAAGAGAAATACAAAGTTATACCAGTATTAAATGTACTTTATTTCATAATGAATTAAATATTGCTGACTAGTTTTATAATCATACACTATGTCATTGAATACAATGACATCTATAATATTTCTGATCTTAGTTTCTTTGTAAAAACTTTTTTTTTCTTAACATGAGAAATTGATCTGTCTTACATTTATCATGGTAATGAATGGCAAACTTGCGTAGCATCTTCACGTATGATTTATGATGTCACTATGGCAATAGGCAAAGAATATAAATTTTATATGTTACACTGACAATAGGCAAAATATATGAAGTAAAGGAATAATAATGATGACATGAAAACTGTGATAATCTCATTTCTCTCTGTCTGGATAAAAATGTATTATGTATGAATTACAGAAAAAATGCTTCAAATATATAATATAAAAATATACAAATATATGATTTCAAATGATTTAAAATATATACAATATCTTCATATTCACATAGTCAAAAATCAAAACTAACTTACTTTTATAGTTTAAAAAAAATAGGTTAAAGTTTCAACAGTTACAACTTTTGTTCATTATTTTTAACAATCACAACCAAGATATATTTCAGATATGTATGTTTAAAAAATGTCTTCAAAAAGCTTCCGTGATAAAAATTGGAATGTACTTGTAGTACACAACCTTCTTTAGATAATTTCCAAAATGTGTTTGAAAAGCAAAACAAAATAAGCCTTTGGCCTAAGAACTGTAGATGGAAACCAAAATGATTGTCAGATATACAGTTCACAGGTTAAATCACAAAGGTCATTTTATTCAGAGAGAGTCTTTTCAGCATATAGTTTCAATAAATATATCCTACATACATTATTGCATAAATGAGTATTAATATTATGAATGAGTTTTACAGATACACATCTTATGAAAAACCATGTTCTGCATACTAAAATATGAAGGCATTCTTTCAGTGACACACATATACACTATCTACATCCATTTTCACTATAAAGTTAGTATAGAGGTACAGTAACTGCAGAAGCCAAGGTTGCTACATGTCCTTCACAAAATAATTATAAAACAGTACTGTTTCCTAGCATGAGCGATGTCACATACACAATATGGATTAAACTCAAACGGTACATGTATATGGTTTAAAGGGATGAACAAACTTATATCCAGTGAATATATAGCACCAAATTAACAACTCACATACTACAGTCAAGATTTACATTAAAACCTCTTCAAGTTTCTCAAAATATGTTGGAATAAAAGCAAGAAATAAAAAGATGTACACATGGCAAAGAAAAATTAAACTCTCCAAGTTTAAAACAGGCATATTAATTGTTTTTACAATGAATATGCATTATCAGATGTAACATCACAACCACTCAATGACATGATGAGACCTATGTGTGCTGAAGTCTTTGGCCAATATCACAGAACAAGACATATTATCAGAATATAAAACAATATTTCAGATGATGATGATATCATGTAATGGCCCACAGATAGATAAGAGTTATACAAGCCTTGTATATCCAATCAAGGCATGAATCCAAGCCTTGTATATCCAATCAAGGCATGAATCCAAAGTTCATACATCGTAATTTCAGCAAATGTCTTAAGAAAATGATGGCAATAACTTTAAATATAGCAGGACTGATATTAAGCTTTGAAATCTTACAACATTCACAATGATTGAACAATAACACACAGAAGGTTCAGGCTAAGAAAATGACAGTTATTGCAAAACATTCCTGAGAAAAACAATGTGTGTGATCTGTATAACTATATGCTTTCTATGCCATTACACAGAAAATAACTCTCATAAATGGTAAAATTACTAGCACTTAATGAATGGAATGCATGCATTCACTGCATTTTAATATTCACAGGTACACAAACATGCCTCCCCATAAACACCACAAGATGGCTGTCTAAACCTAAATTTGCTTGAGAGGACAGATTATATCCCTTGTCCCAGCAGCCGAGGATTGCATAGTTCCAGGGTTTGGTTTTGATTTCTGTTTGATCATTGGTCATCTTTGGCAGAGTAAAATAATGGTCTTAGTGACCAAGTCTGTAGACGGGAGTCAATAATTCACTGGAGTTACCTCCCTTAGGAATCTTCTAAGTAGACGACTCCATTTCTCCTCTCTTTATGTTTAATGAAATATTGAAATATTCACCACAGGTGTCCACTAAATCAATAACTAAATTAGTCTCTCTTCAGGAGGGGGTTTTAATACACGACCAAGTTCCAGTTTTGATCCATTCATCTCTTGTCGACTAGGATTATATGTCCCTCGTGTTCGTCGTTTTTTACGAGCCATTTTCAAAAATATTACAACACCTATAAGAAATGAGCAGATTAATAAATTTATTGTATGCTTTTAACATTCTTACTCCTTTTTTTATTTTTCTAAAAATACAATTTTTAAAGTTTTATAAGTTTTATGTTAAAATTAATAAAATAAAATATCAAATCTGTTCAAACACTATATTAATCAAATGAAAAAAAAAAAGGTGAATCGATCAGTCCGACACAATTGTTCCATTTGCATAGATATACTGGGAATATAATAATGTTAAGTTATGGCTGTTAAGTATTATTCTATCTGATCCTACAAGGCAACCACCTACCTATAATAACTATTAACAGACACCCCGCCACCACCGGCCCCACAATGATCCAGATGTTGTCTTCCTGAGTTATCTTCCTGAAATCTGGATCCTACAACAGAGGGCAGCACTAAGCTCAGTATCTAAGCAACCACTAGCAACATGTACAGTAACATACACAGTATATATAGACATTCTATGGAACCCTAAAACATGCAGCATTTTAAATCATCCATGGTTAAAGGAAACTGATCATCTACTCCTAAAATGGAATTTTATGACAGCAGATAAAATGAATATCTAGATATTTAGTATCCATAAGAGATCAATGTTAAAAACAAATCAGGATTAAAAATGGGAAAAGACCTGACTTGTTAAAATTGTCCTTTTACTTGGTTTATCCCGTCAGAGTTTACCTTGGTGTTACAGTAGTCTCCTATGTAGCCGGCCTGACATTTACAGTGGAAGCTACCAGCTGTATTGACACACGTAGCATCGTTCTTACAGGGATCAGGCAGACATTCGTTTATGTCCTCCATACAGTTGCTTGTATTGGTCCACCCTAAAATAAAGCATCAGTGTACTTTTTACTATCCCTGTACATTTTTCTTAATCTACTTTTTGTGAAAAATATTTTTTTGTTGTTGATAAAATTACAAAAGAAATTGATTACAGAATACACAAGTAGTTTGGCAACCAAATGAAATATACAATGTATTCTGTTTGTTTGAAAGAGTAGTTTCTTTTTTTTTTTTATGTATAAAATCATTTATTTCCATTTAAGGTATTTTATGTAAATGTTTTCATTTTTTTTTTAAATTAAAGTTTTAAAGTCTTCAAAACTTTTAAGTATAAGTCCATGTTTTATGAAAATAGCTAAAAGAAGAATTAAAAAATGAAATCAAAACAGGTAATTTATACAGCTTTGTACATCTCTCTACAACCTGCTCTTACCAGGTGAACAGACACAGGTGTAAGCGTTGATTTCGTCTATGCAGGTGCCCCCGTGTTCACATGAGACACTCTCACATTCATCAATATCGGTGTTGCAGTTTTTGTCGGTGTAGCCCGGGTGACAGTAGCAGAGGTAGTCTCCCTGGACATTAGTACAGTTATAGCTGTTAGTGGGGGAACACGGAGCAGAGGTGGTGCACTCATCAACATCCTCTGTACAGTTCTTACCCTGCCACTCTGAAATGAGGTCATGTACAGGTCAATGTTTAGTGGTCTCAAGTTTTACAGAAATCAAGAAGTGATTATAGAATAAAACAAGAGGCCCTTGGGCCACATTGCTCACCTGAGAAGCTTTGACCATTCTGTTCTTTACCAGATTTCCCCCTTGTTATACATAATGCATCCCCACCCTACCCCACTGATCATAATTTAGACATTTTGAAATCTACACTTCCCCATGATCCTTCCATGGGCACATATGTTTCAGCTTTTTTGGCCCAGTGGTTCCTGAGAAGAAGATTTTCAAAGATTTTTCCTATATATTTCTATGTAAAACTTTGATTCCCTATAATGGCCCCGCCCTTCCCCCAGGGGTCATGATTCCTACAATTTAGAATCTACACTACCCCAGAATGCTTCCACATAAGCTTCACTTTTTCTGGCTTCCAAGATTTTCAAAGATTTTTCCTATATATTTCTATATAAAACTTTGATTCCCTATAATGGCCCCGCCCTTCCCCCGGGGGTCATGATTCCTACAATTTAGAATCTACACTACCCCAGAATGCTTCCACATATGCTTCACTTTTTCTGGCTTCCAAGATTTTCAAAGATTTTTCCTATATATTTCTATATAAAACTTTGATTCCCCATTGTGGCCCCGCCCTTCCCCCGGGGGTCATTATTTGAACAATTTAGAATCTACATTATACCAGGATGCTTCCACATAAGTTTCAGCTTTTCTGGCCCAGTGGTTCTTGAGAAGAAGATTTTCAAAGATTTTTCCTATATATTTCTATATAAAACTTTGATTCCCCATTGTGGCCCCGCCCTTCCCCCGGGGGTCATTATTTGAACAATTTAGAATCTACATTATACCAGGATGCTTCCACATAAGTTTCAGCTTTTCTGGCCCAGTGGTTCTTGAGAAGAAGATTTTCAAAGATTTTTCCTATATATTTCTATGTAAAACTTTGATACCCCATTGTGGCCCCGCCCTTCCCCCGGGGGTCATAATTTGAACAATTTAGAATCTACACTACACCAGGATGCTTCCACATAAGTTTCAGCTTTTCTGGCCCAGTGGTTCTTGAGAAGAAGATTTTCAAAGATTTTTCCTATATATTTCTATATAAAACTTTGATTCCCTATTGTGGCCCCATCCTTCCACCGGGGGTCATTATTTGAACAACTTAGAATCTACATTATACCAGGATGCTTCCACATAAGTTTCAGCTTTTCTGGCCCAGTGATTCTTGAGAAGTAGATTTTCAAAGATTTTTCCTATATATTTCTATGTAAAACTTTGATAACCCATTGTGGCCCCGCCCTTCTCCCGGGGGTCATGATTTGAACAATTTAGAATCTACACTACACCAGGATGCTTCCACATAAGTTTCAGCTTTTCTGGCCCAGTGGTTCTTGAGAAGAAGATTTTCAAAGATTTTTCCTATATATTTCTATATAAAACTTTGATTCCCCATTGTGGCCCCACCCTTCCCCCGGGGGTCATAATTTGAACAATTTAGAATCTACACTATACCAGGATGCTTCCACATAAGATTCAGCTTTTCTGGCCCAGTGGTTTTTGAGAAGAAGATTTTCAAAGATTTTTCCTATATATTTCTATATAAAACTTTGATTCCCCATTGTGGCCCCGCCCTTCCCCCGGGGGTCATGATTTGAACAATTTAGAATCTACACTACCCCAGGATGCTTCCACATAAGTTTCAGCTTTACTGGCCCAGTGGTTCTTGAGAAGAAGATTTTTTAATGACCCAACCCTATTTTTGTCTTTTCTTGATTATCTCCCCTTGCGAGGGAATATGTCCCTTCATTTTAACAATTTAAATTTCCCTTCACCCAAGGATGCTTTGTACCAAGTTTGGTCAAAATTGGCCCAGTGGTTCTTGAGAAGAAGTCGAAAATGTGAAAAGTTTACAGACGGACAGATGGACAGACAGACGGACAGACGGACAGACAGACGGACGGACGACGGACAAAATGTGATCAGAAAAGCTCACTTGAGCCTTCGGCTCAGGTGAGCTAAAAACTAATGACAAAATCATCATGACCTTTTCTTGACAGCTTACCTTTTTTACATGGACAGGTATAATCGGTCAGATTCCCAGATTCTGTACAGGAACTTTCAGTATTATTCTCATCACATGGTCTTGAGTAACAAGGCCCTAATGTTTCACATTTAACACCTGCAAACAGAAAAAGAATGCCAACATTTTCTTAAAGTTAATTAGTGAAAAGACTATATGCAGACTTTTACTGATGCACATATCTGTGATCTTGTGAAAATCACAAGTTCTGCAAAATTCTGATTGGAGTACGGAAATTAAAGCTATTTTATTCATGCATGATTACACTATCCAGTATAAACAAGTCTTATGTTTATAAGTGTTAAATATATCAGGTCACAAATCTGCAATTCCTTTAAAAAATACTAATTTAACTCCACATAATCAAGCAAATAAAACATATTGCATTTTGAAATCTCATTCTCTACCTCACATTGCTGAGATCATGAATTAACTTTCCACTGCAAGTCTAGGTGATCACAAAACTCTACTCTGTCGACAATTAGGTCCAATAGAAAAGCTTCACCTTAGAACAGCTATCTCCAGATGAATTTTAATTATAGCAATTATAATTGTTCAACTTTTGTGAAACTTGGCAGAGTAAGATCCAATGAATCTAAAAACAACTGAGTATCACAAAGAATATCCTTCTCCTTTGTAAACTGTGTGAAATTTAACAGACACTCGTCGGTTCATCTGATGATGACAATATACCTGTAAGCTAATTACAGGTGTTTACACCAATAGGTACACTAAATTAGTTTACCTGGCCATATAATCTAGGGTCAATCCAAGCAAATGTGAAGAGCACTGTCTAGTAAATCAATTTGCTGTGTTTATTCATTATTCCTTATCAATTTATGGGGTTTGTATTTAGATAACTCCATATTATACTAAACTCAATATTTACAATGTAGACAAAAGGTTTAGTCATCTTTTAGCACAAATCTTCTCTAGGGAAAAACAAAGATGAAACAGATCTGTTAATCCTAAAGTCATAAAAATGTTCAATTCATTCTACTGCATAATTAAGATGATTTCTAGATACAATAAAAATTCTTAGTCTAGTACATATATAGACAAAGACCTTTGATGTCTACATACAGTGACTTCAGCCATTTGCCTTATTTGCGTTGACAGTGTGGCCCCTGGGTGCCATACCCTGGTATCTTGGTTATCCATCATAATCACAAACAACCCCCTAGGCAATCCACTTACGTTTACATCAGCATACATGTGTGTGTTTATTTTTACATGGGACAGGTATACTTATGTGTGTGACTGAAAACAAGACTCACTAGTTTTTACACCTATATTAGTTAGCACATGTTCAAGTTTATATGATCCGGACATTGCCTTCTTCATCAACTCTCAAAGTGAAAATAAAAATTTTTGAAGGTAACAGACAGGACAAAACATAAACCTCATGAGGGCTGTACATTGTAATAATGCTATGAAATTTTTCAGAATTGACAATTGACAGCATCTTGATGAGTATTCTTCATGTAAATAATCACACATCTCTATGTTAATTTTTTAACATTTTTGTATGTGCATATAATGGGGGGAGGGGAAGAAGAATATTCTCACTATAGATATTATAGGGTTATTGAACTTATATTGGTGAATAATTTAATTTTGTTTATATTCTCGCCTCTCATTGGTTGATTTTCAAAAAGGAACGCAAAACATTTTGCATAAACTGGTTTGGTATGGGGACACGCCCCCTTGACGACCAGCTTAATCATCTTATCCATGCAATCCCTTCATTTCCAGTCCTCGGAGTCCATGGAAAATTCAAGATTTAATAACTCTATCTTTAACTTCAAACACTTACTCGATCTTACCTCATGTAAACACACATCATGGCTGCTAGATTTATGTATCAGTTATTACCTCCCCTCGCTTCACATCACTTCCGTTACTACGGTTGTATTATTGCGCGGTAAATTTGAACTCGTAAAAAGCAACACAATTTTACATCCAAAGTTGTTGAATTATTTTAAAATTAAATTATAAGGAACGACTCTAATTCTTGGCCATATTATCGAGTATAATCTGGTTTGAGTCAGTTTACGCTTTTTTATAATCCGCTTCGCGGATTATAAAGTGTAAACTGACCCAAACCAGATTATACTCGATAATATGGCCAAGAATTAGAGTCATTCCTTAAATATTGGCACAAGTTGGCTCTGCAAATGCATGAGCTTGCGAGTGCATTTGAACAGCAAACGAGTGCCAATATTCGTCAATATAAGTTTAATAACTCCTTTACTATATAGCTAAAACACTTCCTCATAATTCATAATAATTATTCCAACTAAAAACATAGGTAATCAGAGATTACAGAGCTCACCTCAACGAACGTTGTCTTTAAATAAGGCAAAGTCACACAATAACCCAACAAAAAGTGTACATTCAAAATTTATGCAATTTTGATCTGATACTTTGGAATAAACCTATAAAAAAAACTTCAAACTAGTTCTTTGTCACAAAAATGTGATTAAAATCCAGCATCTGTAGCAAGTTTGAGAGTTTTCATCCCTTTATGCATCATTTGGGCAAGTTTGCAAGTCTGCATCCATAACTTTTACCTGGTACATTATCTGAAAGATGTACATGTATGTAGAATTCAGCATCTAGAGCAAATCCATTAGTGTGCATCCTAAGAAGTATCATCCATGCAAGTTTGAACAACATAGGGCTAATAGTTACTTAGAAATGAAACTTGCATGAAAATTTAACCTCTTCACTCATCCAAAAAAATGTAGGTCACATTCAGCATCCGAAGCAGGCCTGGTAATATGCATCCTCAGATGTATCATCCATGCAAGTTTGGTCAACATAGGGCTTATAGTTACTTGGAGATGAAACCTGCACCAAAAACATTGACTTGTTCACTCAACCGGAAAATATAGGTCACATTCAGCATCCGAAGCACATCTAGTAGTATGCATCCTAAGATGTACCAACCATGCAAGTTCGGTCTTTATAGGGCTCATAGTATCTTGGAAATGAAACCTGCACCAAAAACATTAACCTGTTCACTCAACCAGAAAATATAGGTCAGATTCAGCATCCGAAGCAAGCCTGGTAATGTGCATTCTTAGATGTTTAATACATGCAAGTTTGGTCAACATAGGGCTTATAGTTACTTGGAGATAAGACCTGCACCAAAAACATTAACCTGTTCACTCAACTGCAAAATGTAGGTCAGATTCAGCATCCAAAGCAAGCCTGGTAGTGTACATCTTTAGATGTATCATCCATGCAAGTTTGGTCCAAGCAGGGCTTATAGTTACTTGGAGATAAGACTTGCACCAAAAACATTTACCTGTTCACTCAACCAGAAAATGTAGGTCAGATTCAGCATCCGAAGCAAGTCTGGTAGTGTACATCTTTAGATGTATCATCCATGCAAGTTTGGTCAACATAGGGCTTATACTTACTTGGAGATGAAACCTGCACCAAAAACATTAACCTGTTCACTCAACCGGAAAATGTAGGTCAGATTCAGCATCCGAAGCAAGTCTGGTAGTGTACATCCTTAGATGTATCATCTGTGCAAGTTTGGTCAACATAGGGCTTATAGTTACTCGAAAATGAGACCTACACCAAAAACTGCACCAAAAATGTTAACCTGCTCCAAAAACATTAACCTGGTCATTCCTTTGCTGAAATTGCAGCATCTGAAACTTTGACTGGTACAATGAAACACATTAGAAACATCTTCCATGCATGTCTAATCAATATAGGACATAGAAGTACTTAAAAAGAAAACTGCTCCAAAAAACTTAACCTTAACCCGGGACGCCGACACGGACGCCGACGCCGAGGGTATTACATAAGCTCCCCCAACTTCGTTGAGGTGAGCTAAAAACTCAAATACATGATTTTTTAGTATCATTATTCAAATTAACGCCTGTCCTGTAAGTGTTCAATATCGCATCATTCCGATGACCCTACCGAGCGTTATGATTTGCTTATTTAGGTTTTAATGAGTGTAATCAATACTAAATTTTGAATAAATAATTTCATTTTTTGTGTATAAAATAAAACATCTTACCCAGATGCCACTTCCTTTCTTTAATTTAGCTCTGAGAATTTGACAAGATGACTTTTTTTGTTTACAATGGGGTGTTCGATATTGAACACTCGTATTCAGAATGTTTTGGACATACTCGTCTACGTAATACAAAGTCAGCGTTCAATAAAACGTCAAGATATTGAACGCTAAAATTCTCTAGATTTTAGGTAGTATTTTATTAGAGACTATTAGCTATATAATAAAGTGAGGATATTCAAGCTTCCATGTATTGTTGAGTGTTTGTGTTGGTGGTTGGGGAGGGGAGAGAGGAGGGGTTGCTATACATGGGCATAGTAGGGTCATTCAAAAATCCATGCATTAATTGTTGAGTGTAAATTGTGTGTGTGGTGGTGGATAGATAAGTATTCCTACCATGGACATAGCGAGGACATTCATACATCCATGTGTTGTTTTTTAGTGTATGTAGAGAGGGGGGGAGAGATAAGCATTCCTACCATGAACATAGCAAAGACATTCACACATCCAGGTGTTGTTGAGTGTTTGTTTGTGTGTGTTGGAGGGGGGGAGAGGATAGATAAGTATTCCTACCATGGACATAGCAAGGACATTCACACATCCATGTTTGTTCAGTGTTTTGTTGTTTGTGTGTGGGGGGGATAGATAAGTATGCCTACCATGAACATAGCGAGGACATTCACACATCCAGGTGTTGTTGAGTGGAGGTTGGGGTTTACACTGGCCCCCGTTTTGACAGGACACACTGTCACAGTCCACAACAGTACAGTTATGTCCCTTATAGCCCTCCGTACAGCTACAATTGTATCCTCCATCAAAGTTCAGACAGGTGGCTCCATTGGCACAGGGGCTCTCTGCTGTACACTCATCATAGTCCTCCCCACAGTCCGGGCCTAAAAATAGATCAAAGCGGACATAGTCAATTACTTAACATCCACAGTCAGGGCCTAAAAATAGAACAAAGCGGACACAGTCAATTACTTAACATCCACAGTCAAGGGCCTTGAATAGAACAAAGCGGACATAGTCAATTACTTAACATCCACAGTCAGGGCCTAAAAATAGAACAAAGCGGACACAGTTAATTACTTAACCGTCCGGGCCTAAAAATTGAACAAAAGGGGACATAGTCAATTACTTAACAGTCCGGGCCTAAAAATAGAACAAAGCAAGCATAGTCAATTACTTAACAGTCCGGGCCTAAAAATAGAACAAAGCGGACCTAGTCCATTACTTAACATCCATAGTCTGGGCCTAAAAATAAAACAAAGCTGTCCTAGTCAATTACCAGTACATAGTATCTTATATGTGTAAGTTAAAGATCCATAACTCTGCTACAGATAGTTTTCAAAATAAGAATTTTAAAAGTTGACATTTATCACAGGTATATGGGAATTGTAAATTTTGATAACCCAAAACATTTTTAAAAGTAATTCCAGGGAGGGGGGATGTTGTTATACGTACTTCACAATTCATATTACTGAAGGGTAGATCTATAACATTATAAATTAAGAGCTTAAATGTAAATTCAACAACCAAATGTTCTGTTTCCTATGATTACCTGTGTATCCTATGCCATCCCCTACACAATTACAGTGGTAGCTTCCTGCAGTATTAACACACATTCCTCTCTGACAGGGCTGGTGATCACATTCATTGATGTCTGCATTACAGGACTGGCCTTCCCAACCTAAAATCAACGGAAACAGTTACTACGAAGAAAATTCTTTAATGACTGGTCTTTGAAAACTGACATTAAGGGCCATTCAGTGACAGAATTTTTGATGCACCTGTAGGGTCTTTATTAAGATCAATTACACTTAGATTTTTCATTTATCCAAGCCAAGAGGGTTAAAAATATCTAACAATTTATATGACATCTTTAGTCTAATAGACTTACCATCAGTACAGTTACAAATATGGTCATCTACAAGGTCCACACAGGTGCCATTGTTACGACATGGTTCTGATCTGCAGTCGTCAATGTTGTTACTACAGTTCTTGCCATCATATCCTGAAAATCAAAAGAAATTTAACCTTTATTCAGAGGTCAACAAAAAGGAAAAAGAAAGTATCTAAGTCAGGTCTGTAGCTGAATTTCCTGTTACCTGCGACACACGAACATGTGTAAGTATTTCCTGTATAATCGTTGTTACAGGTGCCCCCATTTAAACAAGGAAGGTCACTACAGAAGTCCTTCTTCATGTCACAGAGAGACCCTGTATATTCCACAGGACACGAGCAGCTGAATGGAGGCTGATATAAAAAATAATATAAGTTTTAATATTTTCATAATTTACATTCTTTTTATTTGTACCATTACTAAAACATGTAATTTCAAGTCTCCACTGACATGTAATTTTGAGATACCTTTATAATAAGGCACATAAAATCTTTCATTCCCTCTAAAAAAATGTTCTCCCATTCAATAGATACAGTAAAACTCGTTTAGTACAAACACGGATGTTGCAAATTCACAGAAATAGCGAAGTCATCTTGGATCCCAAGCTACTAGTATATTAATTTTAATGAATTTCTTATACGGTTATAACGAATTCCAGATATAACAAAGTAATTTCATAGGTTTGGTGACTTCGGACAGTTCGGTATAACTGAGTTTTGCTGTATAATGTAATTTACCTGTTTTCCAGTTTCTACATTACATGTTGCATTGTTTTGACATGGACTGTCATTACAAGTCTGTGTAATCTGTAAAATATAAAGTTAACTGTAGACACAAGGTTAGCAGGCCTTTACTTATTACCTTTAGTTAATATTCCTTACCTAGACATGATTACCAGTCATTATTTAAGCTTTATTTATCCAAACACAACAGAATATAATTGAGAGTTCCAACAATTTTATTCACAATACTATTTAATATTTCACAAATTTGCCTTGAGGGCTCATGCAGCTTATACAAGAGAGATTAAGTCAATCTCCCAGCATTAGAACCAGGTACTAGTTACATAACTGTAGTTGTTTACTCTGAATCCTGCAGGCTGAGGGCATCTTGCCTATGTGAATATATGCTCACTAGCAATGGATGGCTGAATGCAAGAAATGCTTGCCTAATATGAGGACCTGAGTGGATTGAACATAGAGTAAACAACTGGAGTCTAATCTTAATTGGTAAGAAATGCTCACCTAAGATAGACGGCATGCTCCAACTTATGTAACAAGCACCTGATCCCAATGCTGAGCGATTAACTTCCCATAGTTGGGAGAAAATAATGAGATATATAAGTGTATATCATTATGTAAAATGTAAATGGCGCATTATTGCTCATGAACCCTTATTTATGTCTAGAACCATCAATAATTGGAAGGTGGAAGGGGTTGGTGGTGGTTACTGAACTGGAAAAATATAAACATCAACACTGCAAGCACGCTAACTTCAGCTGATAGAGAAATCCTATTGGTTAATTTTATCACGTGGTTTACATGAGGTACAAAGGGGACACTGTATTATGCATAATAATGATATTGTATTTGGAAAATAAACAATGATTATATACATAATCAAAATTTTATTTATCCAAACACAACAGAAAATAATTTAGAGTTCCAACAATTTTATTCACAATACTATTTAATATTTCACAAATTTGCCTTGAGGGCTCATGCAGCTTATACAAGAGAGATTAAGTCAATCTCCCAGCATTAGAACCAGGTACTAGTTACATAACTGTAGTTGTTTACTCTGAATCCTGCAGGCTGAGGGCATCTTGCCTATGTGAATATATGCTCACTAGCAATGGATGGCTGAATGCAAGAAATGCTTGCCTAATATGAGGACCTGAGTGGATTGAACATAGAGTAAACAACTGGAGTCTAATCTTAATTGGTAAGAAATGCTCACCTAAGATAGACGGCATGCTCCAACTTATGTAACAAGCACCTGATCCCAATGCTGAGCGATTAACTTCCCATAGTTGGGAGAAAATAATGAGATATATAAGTGTATATCATTATGTAAATGGCAAAAATATGCAGATGGTACAGCTGCATAGTCCCCAAGTATGGGATGTAAGTAATTTAGAAAAGGAGTGAAAATGTGGACGTGAGACAATTAAAGATGGATCCAGACATATTAAATTAAACTATGATTACATTGAATCTCAACATCATTAAAACAACATACATAAGTGTTTTTCATCTGATAGAGTGCATGTATGTATCCTATAAAAAAAAAATTTAACAACATTAGAAAGGTCTAATATCAGCAGTTTAACGTGATCAAACAAAATGTAGATATGCATAATTTCACTTATCAATAACTTCATCAATATCCTGTATGAACGTAGAGAGTTTCTGTACATAAACTTTTCATGTAAGCTAAAATCAGTTCTCTAAACATCAATCATATGTACACATCAACCTTATCTAGGACATTTTCTCTGAATGAAAACTAGTAGCCATACTAATTTGTGCATCTCTAACTACCTTGGTTGGTGTTCTTATATACCTATTATAACAGTCCGATGACCATCTGCCTAAAGTTTTAATAAGATGGTCTTCTATCCTAGCTGATGCAGCAGATGTTGCTGCACCGATACGAAATGAGTGACCACTGTATTTCTCTGAATCAAAACCTAGAACTTTTAATATATACTGCAAGTGTTCAATAAAGTATGATCTTGTTACAGGTAGATTATCTTCTGTAACGAAAAGAGCTTCTTTAGGTCCAGCAAAACAGAATTTTCTCACCTGCATGTATTTACACATAGATTTTACTGGGCATACTTTTGTGTCATTTGAGTATAATACAATACTTGAACCCTTGTGAAAATGATCTGTTTTAGAAGTCTTCAAAAATATCTTAACACAATCTTCGTGAATTTGAACATCTTCACAGCATAAATGACAGCATGGATCAAATTTCTGTTGTATTGTCAGTTCACCACAACGGAAAAATCCGAAAAAAGCTGTTACATACATAGCTTCTAACAAAACATTGGTATAATATTTAAACATGCAATTCCTCAAAACTGTACAAATTCTTTGCAGTATGTGAGCTGTAATAGGCAATCTGACCTTATTTTTAAATTGATCTTTACTTTGCACTTTTCTAATTGCATTTAAAATTAACTTCAATCGTTCCATTGAGTGACATTTAGACTGAAAAGGGTTTGGAATCCCCATTTCTAAAAACATATACCTGATTCCACACAAATATAATCTTATTGTAGAAAATTTAAGCAACAAGTTATGTTGGCAATATGCAACAAAATGTACGAGTATATCTTCAGATATAGGTGGAAATTTGACATCATAAAAAACACCATGTATTGTAAGAAAATGTTTATATGTCTCAAAACCTTGTTTGTAAGTTAATCTTGTTCTTTCGGTCACGGAATTGTTCATGAGTTTTTGAACCACTTGTCGGAGTTCCAAATTACTTCCGATACCGGTGGGCAAACCATCGGATTCTTCTCTGCTTGAGGAGCCGCCTGCCTGAACTTCTCGAGCTGTAAGCGAGACAAAGAGTCAGCTATAATGTTTTTAATTCCTGATACATGTTCGCTATAAATGTCAAAGTTATAAATAGCAGCACAAAAGCATAGAGTTCTCATCAAAGATGATATTTGTAGATCTGAGGATCGACGTTTCCGGATAATATCTACAACTGCAGCATTATCACAATGGAAAAGAATCCTTTTCCCTTTCCAGTCCTTCCCCCAAATAATAGCTGCAACGACAATAGGATATAATTCGAGAAAAGCCATGGACGGAGATTGTTTATGAGTATTAAGTTCCTTTGGCCACTTTTCTGCAAACCATTTTCCTCTGTAATATCCCCCGAATCCTACTGTAGATGAGGCATCGGTATACAATTCCATGTCTGCGTTACTTATCAGCTTGGATTCATAAAACACTGACACGCCATTCCAATGCTTTAAAAAATGTAACCACATCTGTAGGTCTTCCTTGCTAGCTTGTGTAAACTTAACGTAATAATGAAGTTTCTCTACCTTTGTAGACAATTGGATAAGATAAGAAGTGAAAGCTCTCCCAGGTAACACAACTCTCGCTGCAAAGTTAAAGTGTCCTAATAACTGCAGTAATTGTCTCTTCGTCACTGAAGATTGTTTCAGGAAATCCATTATGAAATTACATATCCGAGTGATTTTTTCCTGGGGTAAGCGTGCTTCCATTTTTTCACTATCAAGGATGATTCCTAAGTATTCCAGTTCCGTTGTAGGACCCACTGTTTTCTTCAATGATAGTGGTATGTTGAGTCTTTTAAATAAAGTGCACAACAAAGCCATTGTCCTTTCTCCAATCACGTCAGGTTTGTCAATGGTAAGGAAATCATCTAACAAATGAAAAATATTTTCAATTCCATAATTGTTTTTTGCAATCCAGCAAATGGCTTGTGATAAATGATCAAATATTTTCGGTGAACTTCTACTTCCAAATGGTAATCTAACGAAGTAGTAGAACAATTTTTTCCATTTCACACACAACATAGGCCAAAATCTTGGAGCAACTGGTATCAGCTTAAATGCATCACATATGTCTGTTTTGCACATGATAGCACCTTTTCCCAATTCTTTAATTCTTGTTATTGCATCATCTATTCTAACATATTTCAAGGAGCATTTTTCTTTGTCAATCAAATTATTTACACTGTCAACTTCTTCATTATCATGTGGTGAAGATAAATCCAAAATAAGGCGCTTTTTCCCGGAGTATTTACCCGTAGCCAGTCCTAATGGACTTACTCTGTATTTTGAAAAATTGAGTGTTTGGAACGGTCCTTTCACAAATCCTTTCTGAACTTCTGTTTTTAAAAGTTCATCAACTGTATCTGGGTTTTCCCTAGCTGACTGTAAATTCCTACACTCATATGAATTATCAAGGCTTGTACTATCGCCCATAAAAATATCAAATCCATCACGTAGTCCACCAATTAAATAATCAACAAATTCTCTGTCTGGGTGATTACATAATTCTAACTCTAGTCTTTCTATATTAACTGGTGTAGTGGCTTTAAATTCATCCCTTTCTTGTTTTTCTAGTCACTGTGGAGTTTTTTGTTTCTTTGTTTTATCATCTAGCATCAAATTTGTGGTCGTGGTCTTCTCGGCATTTAAATTCGGACACTTTTGTTTTCCGTGAGAAGTAGACATGCATTGAGCACATACATGTGCTCTTCTGCAGTATGGTACGGTACATCTGTTTGAATTGTAGTTGTTGCAAATTTGCCTACCTTCATGAAAGGCTATATTTCTATCATACTTGTCCTTTCTTTGATAGCTCTGGTAACTTCGTTGATGTTTGTTGTCGTTTGAATTTTCAACGCACATACTAGATGTATGGGTGGTCGAGGAGCAAATATTACACTTGCTGACTTCAGCACCTGCTACTACACGCTTCAATATTTCATCGTCTCCTTTGCTCCAGTTTATTAGAACATTGTTCTGTTTTAGGGCAATGGCACATTTGGCAGCAAACAATTTGTGATACTCAAAAAATTTTGTTGGCCAAACATTGTGTACCTCGATAATATGTGCCAAGTACATGTCCAGTTCCTCTTGTCTCCAAGGGTATGTGGCACACATTATCCGTTTGTATCTACTGAAAGCAGTGACAAACTCGCTCATGTTTAAATTTCTATTTAGTCTTTTATCAGTTTTCTCCTGTTCCTTTTTGGGAGTCTCATAAGCTGGTATCAGGAGCGTGCACATATTTACATCTTCACCTCGTAGTATTTTTTTCCGAATATCGGCGGAGACCAGATCCACATGGCCTACATCTTTCGATGGGACCCCTATGCTTGAGTGCTCACTAATATTAACTGAATTTATCGTACCTGAAGCTGAATCCGTGTGGACTTGAGCAGCATATTTCTTAAGAGGGTTATCGTCCTCCTTCTCTGCGTCTTTCTTGTTCTCTTTCGCTAATAACGTATTAACCGTCTGTTGCAAAGCTGCACATGATTGAGCCATACTTTGCAAAGTCTGTAGTAGAACACCATCGTTATTTGTATTCGTAGCTGTACTTTCGCCCAATGTTTGTAGGGGGACGCCATTGTTTGTTGCGTCACTTCCGCCCAATGATCCTCCATGCGAGTTTTCGCGCCGTTCGGTTACATCACCTTTGTTTATGTTTTCATTGTAAAGCTGTCGCAAAGTTGAGGCATTGAATCCTTTCGGAACTTGAATTCCTAATTGTGTCAGTCTTTCCCTTAATTGGGCAACAGTCCAATTCAAAGGATTATCCATGTCAAGAATTGTAGCACTGCTTTCTACGGCAGAAGTTGAAACCTGATCAGGCCTTTGCCTTGTCGCATTTCTCCTTGCAGCCCTTGGCATACTGAACTATTCACAAATTCGAATTTACTTATTATCACTGTGTTGCTATCTTAAAATGCAGACAATCCAGTGTTTAAACTATGAAATAATTAATAAGTCAACACACATCGATAGGTACACGGGTTTCATATTGCACATGTCTAATTATTTGTAGATAGAAATATCCAAACATAAAATGCGTCAAAGTAAATCCGAAAGCAAATGTTCCTGAATTAGTCACATTTATCACATAGTCCAAACAGTAATAATTAAGAAGGATTGGTATAATTACTGAACTGGAAAAATATAAACATCAACACTGCAAGCACGCTAACTTCAGCTGATAGAGAAATCCTATTGGTTAATTTTATCACGTGGTTTACATGAGGTACAAAGGGGACACTGTATTATGCATAATAATGATATTGTATTTGGAAAATAAACAATGATTATATACATAATCAAAATGTCATGTTCATGCAAAGAAACATTACATCTTTATCAAGAAAGAAGAGCATTTTTAAACTTAAATTATGTCCCAGTGCAACTTATATCAAGTGTTTTTAATTCTTTGAGTATCATTTAACCATGCTGGTTATAAATGAAATATCTGGATTTAAAGTCATCAAAAAAAGTTTATGACCAAAACCTGATGATAATAAATATTTATAACTGTAACCATGTAACAAGAACATAATAAAAGTACCTGAATTAATAAACATTTAATAAATGATGAAACCTACAGGTGTACTGGTGTACTTACAGGTGTGTCACAGGTATTTCCTGTGTATCCACTGGTACAGTTACAGATTGCCGTCCCCCCATCGTCCGTACATGCCCCGCTGTTCAGACAGGGGTCAGGGTTACAGGGATCTGTGTAGTTCTGGCACCTACAGGTAACGGACAGACAGACCGTAATCACAACAATTATGTAGTACCTCATGACAATGGCGGAGTTTACATCCTAGTCATCACATCGTAAAAATAGAGTGTCAACAAAAATAATAAAAAACGTCCCCAGATATTGTCAGTTGGATGCCATCAAACACAGGCTACCGAGAAAAAATCCCTCCATGTTCACCTTTGTGGGTGAACTCCACACACACACACATGATAACAGGTAAAAAGCCTGCTCGCCTGAATTCCATAGATTTCCTATTGACAATCCACTAATGTATTAGGTAATATGTTGTACTTGTGAGCAGGTAATTCCTAAGGTAACATTACTACCTGTACGTTCTACTATTATACAACCTTGTCATCTGAGAGAAACCTTCATAACTTCAGGTAAAGAAAAAAAATACTGTTTGAACACCAGCCAAGGTTGTTTTGTGTGTCTTAATGCTTAGACAGCTTTGAATATTAAATCCACAGTGAATGAAGGTTTAAATCCAGACTGCTGAGAATCAAGAAAGCATTTACACATTTTCCCAGTAAAATTTCAATTTGCCTTGGAATTAAAAATAACGAGGAAAAATGTATTCAAAGTATATTGAACTTTGATTATAACAGTATTATGAATTAAAAACACCTCATTCAAGAACCATGCAGATAAAAAATTCAGGTGCATATAAAGTACGCAATAATACACTGAAATGAATAAAGTACTACACTGAATTTGAGAAATGATATTTTGAGCAGACGTTACAATATGTGCACTCTAAATCTTTTTAATAAACAAAGCCCACTTGGTAATTGACCAAAACCCAGCTGTCACAGTCCTGTACATAAAAACCCTGTGTTGAGGTAACTTTTCAATAGCTGTATTTTCTCAAACACATCACCTGAAAACCTTTTGTGTGGATGCTCAACAATCTATTTTGTACTGATCGAGCCTTGAATCTCAAGTATTCCATATAAAAGATTATGAATTGAGGTCACATTATTGTTGGAGACTGTTTAAATAACCCAAATTCTCTGTTCCCCCAAAGACAAACAGCTAAGGATGACATTTTTCTAATGATAATGTAAGCCCATAAACCTAGCTGTCTGCCACACTATCACCTCTTTGCTTTTTGAACCAGAAGTACCAACACTGATAACAACTTACTATATAAAGAAGAGGGAATATATTGAAATTTATATTTTTTTGCTCCCCTTTACTTATTCAGACTATAAATAATACTGCCAAATTAACTGTGCCCCTTTTCAGAAAAACACTGTAAAATACAGAAAGCTTACAAGAGACGATGGACAAATCACTTTCATGACAGTGGAAACTTACAACAAAAAAAAAGGACCAGAAATCATAGGTTAACTGAATGATTCACGTAGCATATACAAATGTAAATGTTAAAATGCAATTATTCCAGGAATTACATGATATACTTTATATGCAACATATTTTATGAAAGGTCACCTAGTCAATTTCCTTATTGTCCAAAAAAAATTTTTTTCTTCCATTCACAGGACATTCATTCTTTCTCAAATTGACAACTGCATTCTTATCCGATCTTTTCAAAATTATTGTGGTAATTATAATACGAAAAAAGATCGTTCAAATTTATATTGAGTAGGTCACTAAGTCTTCATATATTCTTATTCATTAACGTTCAACTTATAGCTCAATTTTTCCCATACAGCCATTGTAGGAAATGTTCAAAATTTTAGTGTCTGGGCAGAAAGGAAAAACAGCAAAAAAGTTTTAATGATGTCCTGGTTTTAGAGAACATCAAAATGAATTCAAAATTACCCCCCCCCCCTTCCCAAATTAAAATTGGATATCACACAGTATGTATACTATTTCCCATATTCAAATATCTGATCATAAAATCATGTATATTAGGGTATAAATAGCTTGGGTATCATATGACATTTGATTCAGCAAGTCCCAGAGTCTACCGATTCTGTACAAAGGAAAAGCTTCAGGACTTACCTTGTACCACTGTATCCCTTTCTGCATTGGCAAGTAAAGGCGTCGACTCCATCCACACACCTTCCCCCTCTCCCACAGGCTGGGGGTGTTCCACAATCATCGTTATTTGTCTGACACCAGTGTCCGCTGTACCCAGAGGGGCACTGACATGTGTAACCATAGTAATCCTCCTGACACACGGAGGAGTGTTTACACTGATTGTATCTACATGACCTAGCGATGGAACAGCCATATTTGTTAACATTAACAACCTGTGCTTCAAAGTACTCCAGATATATTGATGTGTTGTAGTTGGTGAACTCATTCTTTGTGTAAAATGGGAGCAGAATTCCACCAATTCGTACTTCCCGCAGACAGCCCTTGTAAAACCACTTTTCACTGGCACCTTGGTAGCGACCTAGTGATAACTTTCTGTTGCTATCATCATTGGTAAATAATGCTGTCAGATTGACAGTAGGACCACTGTTCAACGTAAAGTCTTTAGAGATGTTTCTGTTAGGGCCTATCACAGCAAGTGTCATATTTGCAGCATTTTCGGTCAGAGTCACTGTATGGAATTCCCTATCATTAACATCATAATCTACCTCTATGATTTCTCTTTGTCCATTCCTGACATGATATAAAACCTCGATCCTCCCTCCTCTGATGCGGATCTTAAGGACGTAGGGACCATTCTGGGCAAAGAGAATCAATCCATTTTTGACTAAGGATCTCATTTGGATTGACACTTCCTTAATTCTTCTACCTGGATTCAATCTTGGAATGTACTCCACATGACTTGAGGCGTCAAATAATGTGGTAGATATACCTAATAAGAAAATACAAAAGTACATCACCTTTATTACAAATATATACAGGCATAGATAAAAAATAGGATGTTCAAAAGTTCAAAACTATACAACACTGGATTTAATTATCTAATTTGCAAACTTAATTCATTATACTGACATATACATGTACATGCCCCTGTAACTTACATTCAAATCCGTTGCGAAGACTTTGGCAGGTGGCTGTTTTAGGGCAGGAGTCCTCATCACAGAAATCAATATCACTACAGTTCTTTCCCCTGAATCCTCGTGGACAGTCACATCTGAAGTTAAATAAAGATACTTAGCCTCATGTAGCAGAAATCAAAACAAAGCATAATCAAACTAGTACATGTATATTGTACCTTGTTACATGAGACCTTAATTAAATCATCACTGTATTTTTTATCCAGATTAAAGAGCTACTATACCTGAAGTCATTGTAGAAAACATTGAAACAAGTTCCATTATGTGTACATGGAGACTCAAATGTACAGACATCATCAGTAACTTCATTTTGGACCACTCCAGTGATGTTTGTCAGTGAAAAATTACTAGGAACTGAAGTATTTCCAGGAAAGAAAACCAGTTTTTCATTACTAATTTCAGCATCTTGAATAGTTCCCTTATAGATAGGTAGCTGATTCATTTTGGGGACTTGGAGGCCGTTCACCGTGATAACATCCGTCTCTCTCCTGAATCGCCCTGACTGCTTCAAGTACTGAGGAATTTCCCCACCAAAGATCAGGTATTTAGCATCAAAGTTACAACTTCCTGTGGGCTGAATGGCCTGTGACTGTACTGGGTTTCCATTCCTAAAGAGCTGAAACTTCTGTCCCTTGAGAAATCTGACTCCTACAAAATGCTGCTGGCCATCATTTATCAGGGTGTCATTGTCCACAATAAACTGAACCGTCTGGGATTCACACAACATGAGTCTGCTGGCAAGCTTCCCCTGGTAGATTTCTAAGGTCAGAAAGGTTGAGTTGTCATTGCCCAGATAAGTGATGAGTCCGCTCAACTCACGAGTTCGGAGGAACATGGTCAATTCTACAAAATTTCTAAGATCATCTTTCTTATCTTGAGGAATACTAAAAGTTGTGAAACTTATTGATGTGTTGTCCTTGGCAAAAGTTGCTGGTATATACTCTGAAAAAAAAGATGTTTTGAAATTACATGTATTAATTATCAATGGTATTCATTTTAAAAATGTATACAGTGGAATTTTCACAGCTTTTGCCCTTATCACAGGTGGATGAATTTTATATGGGGCAAATAAAAAGAACACACAAGAATTTCTTACACAGAAGAGAAACTGGACAAATTTAAAATGGGTCAAACTTGTTCGCAAGTGTGAAAGGCTTAAAAGAACATGGGGCAAAAATAACCCTATATACAGTATGGGATTTTAAAATCTATTTTACCGACTTAAAATGATAATTTTTAACAATTTTTTCCCATACTGTGTTAACTATTTACCTTCTCCACATCTTTTTCCAAGGTAGCGACGGTTACATTTACAGGAGAAATCGTCCCACAGATCTGTGCAGGTACCACGGTTACTACAGGTGTCTGCCTTACACTGTTCTCTTCTGTCACACCCACGCGCTAAGTCTAGAGGAATATTGAAATCACTGTTCACATCTAAAACCACATTGTCGTTCACTGCCATGTCTTGCATGCACCCTTTGAATGCCACTTGTGACCTAGTATTTGATGTCCTGGTGACATGTCCAGTATTTCCAAAAATCAGCTCTTTCTTTGGAAATGAATTTGCCACATGGCGATAATAGACTACTTTTTCACAAACTGTGCGATTGTTGACACAATGTGGGCTGGTTAAATTTAAAGAAATCTGCCCCTTGTCATCAGTGTCTGTGTCATTTAGCTGGTGAAGGTATATGCTGTGCCAGTTTCCATCATTTATTTTTACTGGAATGTGAAGATATGCAGATGTTATTTCAGTTGCATATGGAATATACCCCATATATAACAGGCCCTCAAAGATTTCAATATGCAAAAATATTTTGGTAGAATAATATTCTCCACTCCACATCAGTAGAATTGCATTCGATAAAGTGGTTCTAAAACTGAACTCCACAGTGATGTTTCCAATTTGATTTAAGACACGCTCGACTGAAGTAGATCGTCCGTTAAAGGAAAAGGTTGTTTCTATTGTGCATGCCTGTCCTGTGAATCCTGGAGCACATTTACAGTAGAAATCCTCCTGGACTGTAGGTACTTCTGACTTAAGGTATGGAACACAAGTAGCTCCATTTTGACACACAGTGTTTCCACCATCTTTACAAGCTCGTAGCTCCACTGTACAGTTTTTCCCGGCAAATATTCTGTCACTGGAATCTGGCTCTGCAGCACACTGACAGTTGTAATCTGCTACCTTATCAATACAGGTAGCACCATTCCGACATGGCCTATATTCAGAACACTCATCGATTTCCGTCTCACATCTTTCACCTTTATACCCAGGTGCACACCTACATTCATAGGCTGCCACCTTGTCGATACAGGTTGCTCCATTTTGACAAGGTGTTAATTCCACACATTCATCAATTTCAATCTCACACCTGGTTCCTCTATACCCAGGTGCACACTCACAGTCATAGTAATTAATCCGATCCAGACAGGTAGATCCATGCTCACACGTGTTGTTTACACATTCATCTATGTTTATTTCACAATTTACACCTGAAAAAAAATTTTTAAATACAAGTACATTGTGCAATTATAAGAACTGTAAGTTGTCTTAAACATTTGAAAGAATGATTCATTTTAAATGAAAACTTGGCTGAAAAATTTATTTACAAATTAGTTAAAAGCACAAAATAACAAGATTCTTGTAACCCTCCTCTGCTAAATGTCATGCTTGTTCTTTTTGTTGTTGAACTATTTTTTGAGAACAAAGTGGGGAAAAAAGAATCAGTTTTGTACCTGTTATTCCAGGAATACAATGGCAATAGTAACCAGCTGCGTTAGCATATGAGAAGTCTCCCAGACTCGGGACCTGCTGGAATGTAGAGGGTTTGGATCTCTCCAGGCAGGACCCATTGTACTGACACGGGCTGGACTGGCATTCATCGATGTCTGTCTCACAATTCTTTCCTAAATACCCATTGTGGCAGGTGCAGTTGTAATCCTGTCATACAAAACATTGTACATTATGCATAATGTGGTACACAGAGTATTTTTTAAGTTTAAGGACTTAAAAAGTAATGAAATCAATTTTTTCTCTCAAAGATATAATTCTAAAACTGACATTGATAGAATTGATTAAAAGGAACAGGCATACTGGTACATGTATAATATTACCTTGATGAGGTCAGAACAGGTAGCCTCATTCTGACAAGGACTGGAGGCACAGTCATCAATGTTCAGCTCACAATTTGTACCATTAAATCCTGTGTCTGTGCAGTTACAATCATACCTAAAACAGTCACATACATCAATTAATATATTTATATACTGCAGGTGTGTTTCATACCTAAAAGCTCTTGTTTAGTGTCAGCATTATTGCTCTTTCCCAGATTACCAAATTTACTGCACTGAAATGGTAATTTCTTCTAAAACAGAATTTAAGAATTACAGTTTAGAATAAGGAAATCTATAGTACATCACAAGACAGAAACACAGACACATATAACATCAACAAACCTATCAATGAGACAATTATTTACAAACACCAATAAATATTTAAAAACCTACAACCATATACATGTATTAATGTTTCTCATTTTATACAGGTGAAAGGAGGAAAATTTCAACACTCTGCATCATTCTACATGCTTAAAATGCAACAAACAGTATTTGTAAATATCAGTGATATCTAAGCCTTATAGGAATATTCTGATCATAATTATGGGTATGGTTTGATACAGGCTAAAATTAGGAGTGAAACTGCATAACCTACACTTATATACTAGGATATGTCAATGTTTTAGATTGTGGAGTGAAGGGAAATTTTCAAAATATGAAAATAAGCTTGAAGAAAAAGTTCATGCATTGTAAAATTCTGAATAAAAATTGACATTTATGCAGATTTTTCCTGTACTACCAATAACATTCAGTAACATGCAAGAAACTCTTACAAAAAAACTAATAGATTTCCTTACTTCACTTTTTGGAATATTTATTTACTGTGTTAATATGGAATGAAACATTCATGGCTTGAAAACAAAATCTGTGTGCAAACAAAAACAAACTAAATGGAACATACAGCAGCTGGCATGAAGCAAATCCAACTCAAAATCAAATACTGGGTATTGATTTAAATTGATAAAAAAAAAATAACAAGGTTAAGGTGCCCTTTCTACCCAAGTAAAAATAAAAAAAAAGATTAAATATTAAACATCTGGAAATGTACAACATTAACAAAAACAGGGTCACATGCTAGAACTAAATAAAAAGAACCAAGCATCAAACAGATCGTACCCAGTAGAATCAGGAGGTAAAGTGCTAGGGTCAAACCCATCCAGTCTGTCACAAATAAAAAATGGCGTTCTTTACTGGGCCACAGAAATAATAAAATGACAGCCAAGAAAATTCCCTTTCTAATTTAACAAAACAAACTTAACAAAATATATGTGTCACAGTCTACCGAAACAGCTTGATGATGTAACAGAAGAATAACAATCCACACAATTTATGGACGATTTTATATATAAAACAATAATGTTATCTACTGACTAAATCTTAAGTCAGAAAAACTTTAGAGGAAACGTAAATTGATTATATCTTGTATAAAGTACCATTGTTAAGTAAGTCCGCATATGTACGAAACACTCTGCATTTTATTTTGTATATAGGAACGTCATCCGCATTTTTTGTATATATAGCAACGACATCCGCATTTTTTACTTCAGTAGATAAATTTACATGCTTACTTGTTCTGACGACGACCGTCACAGGTCGAAACCGGTCAACAAAATAAATTTACTGCTGCATTCTCACGAAGTGTTGGTGATCTGTTTTATACTTTTAAGTTTTAAAAATATATGTGTGTTTAAAATGTTCAGTTTGTACAGTTCAGCTTAAACTGATCAGTTGACTATAAGGTAGATCACTTAAACTCACATTGTTAAATCTTTAATGAGGATGCTGACCAACACAATTATAAAGTAAAAGTGGATTACAACCACACTTTCTCTGCTGCTGTTTAATTAGTTTATACATGTACAAAAACTACCGATGACACTGTTCTTCTTTTTAGTTTATATAAATACTTTTCCTTAAGTAACAGGTACTTGTAATATTTCTGTAGTTAAGATTAAGTTTGTATGACATACCCATTGATGTGGTCAATACAGATACCGCTGTTCAGACAGGGGTTGGACTGGCATTCATCTATATCTGTCTCGCAGTTAGGACCAGTGATTCCTGGGATACACTGACACTCGTAGCGAGCTATTCCGTCAATACATGTCCCCCCATACTGGCAGGGAGACGACTCGCATTCATCTATGTTTGTTTTACATCTTCTATCTGAAATCACACATCATATATTTATCCAAAGAGAATAAAAGAAGGGAATAAGGGTTAGAGCGAGCATTACAATGTTTGAAATAAGCACAAAACCTTGAACTCATTTTTGAAAATATCTTTATAATCTGTATACTTCAGATTCTTGCATCCTTGCTCAGAAGTCTGCAATAGGAGCTGAATTTCTGACCTTGACAAGAGATAAGATTTATATGAAGTACCTGTAAATCCTGCCGCACAGCTACAGGTAAAGCTCTCAGAATCGGGCAGACAGGTGCCCCCGTTATGACAGGCAGGAGGGTCCCCCTTCACCTCATCAGCAGACTCACAGTAGGACGTAGACAGCTCACAATTATTACCTATCAAAAGAGAAACAGCTAATGTAGCTATAAAAAGAAAGAAATACAGTCAAACCTTGTTATCTTGGTCAATAGTAAGAAAAATCAGTTGGGACTTCCAACTCACTTCAACATATCCATGGTATTTTTTGAAAACATAGATTTTAAAGATGCCAAAGTTTACCTGTATAAACACATTACACAGATTTTGAATTTTAATGCTACCATCTCTGAAGACTTTGATTTATATTCTATTATCACCAACCTGTGGCATAAACTCCATCATACACAGGTCCACACAAGCAGTTATAGTCTCCATGTGTGTTCGTACAGGAGCCGTTGTGAAGGCAGATCGCAGGGGAGGAGTAATTACACTCGTCAATGTCTTGTTCACAGTTTACACCAGTAAAACCAGACAAAAACTCCAGCTTCTGACCATGACCATATTTGGTTAAATTGACAAGGACCTGCGGACACTCACAACGGTAACGTCCTAACTCATTATGACAAGTTCCACCATTTGAACAAGGAGAGGAAAGGCACTCATCAATGTCTTGTTCGCAGTCATTGCCTTCTTTTCCTGCACAAGTCAATCATAAATGGGTTATTGACAGCTTAAAGTTACAAATTATAAATCAGTAGTGTATTATATTTATGAAAAAAAATATTACATAGGATAATAACGTTTTTAAAAAATTCTTCTAATATACATGTAAAAGACCATACACATGTAACCTTACTCCATGCAAAGATGGCAGATGTGTCATGGACATTACATTATCCATTTATAGAAATCACTTTATAATAAAGACTGAATGATATATGATATATAAACTGGTTGAAAGCTACTTTTAAATTATTTAGTGGTGACTCTACAATTTTTATATCCTATAAAATGTTTAAAGCTGTAACCTTCAATTACATTTACATGTACATATAGAATTAGAATCAAGAAATTTTTGTCAAGAGACGGGAATAAAACAGACAATGGATGGGAAATCTTGGATATGAATATGCATAATGACAGCACAAATATTCATGGTGCAAATGGTTAAGAATCATCATCATGTGCATAAATTGCTTAACATTGTGTGATTTAAAACAAATTGTTATTCATTAGATTATGATAATCAAGATATACAAAGGTTACTGTTAAAATCTGTGTACAAACCTATAGGACAAGCACATCTGTAATCATTAATCAGATCATAGCACACAAATGGCAGCGTGCAAGGTGACCCATAACAGTCGTCAATATTCGTGGAACAGTTCTTATCCGCGAAGCCTGTCACACACGTGCAGTTATAGTCATGTGACCCCAGCATTGAGCTACAAGTGGCACCATTCAGACAGGGCTTGAAGAAGCAAGCATCATAGAGTTGCAAGCAGTTCTTACCCATAAATGTAGAAGTGCAAATGCACTCATACCCATTTACTCTGTCTTGGCAGGTGCCCCCGTTTTGACAAGGGTTTGGTTCACACTCATTAATATCAGTTTGACAGTTAGATCCTGTAAAAAATAAATGAGGAATGAAACTTCAATTAAAAGGAGATTCTAACTGAATTTTAGAACTGACTGAAATGCTAAAGTCAAAAGGCAACATTATACATGCACATGTACATGTATATCTTTTTTTCATTGTTCTAAGTGATGAAGAGACATGTAAAAATTGGAGAAAAACATTGAAGTTTTCTTGATTACGTAGCCTGAACAAACCCTTCTTTTAAAAATACACAAAACTTGCTTTTTCCACTGCATTTATCTTTTGTTAAACATAGAAATCTAATATTAATAAATCATGTTAATCTGAGTGATAAATGCTGTATACCAGTGAATCCCGGGGCACAGGTACAGTTATAGGCGTTCTGGAGGTTGTGACACATTGCTCCGTTTTGACACGGCTGGTTGTGACATTCGTCGATGTCTACAGTACACTGTTTCCCCGTCCAGCCCCCCGTACACGTACAGTTGTAGTAATTCAGATAATCAGTACAGGTCCCTCCATTCTTACAAGGCTGTGAGACACATTCATCAATATCCACCTCACAAGTCTTACCCGTCCACCCCGCCCCACAGTGACATTTGTAGCCATTTATCTACAATAAAATAAAGACAGCATTAACTTATTAATAAGATACTAATTGTCATTCAATATAAGCTGAACTTTCTCTTCAAAACAGTTGAAATTTACCACAAAAGTATGATTTAATATAAAGAGCTAGGTTGACTTTATCCATATGTCCTTGTACCAATAAAGTGACTATCACCCTTTTTCTCATTTCAAATTTCAACACAGGAACTTTCATGTTCTACAACAAAGCTTCCTTTGCAAGTTCAGATATTGTAAATCACTTTTTATTTGCAATGTTCTTGACTTTTGCATAAAATAATTGCTCTGAGTTTGAATCAGAGGTTGTGATCTTCATGATACATATATATTGTATTATTAATATTTATATAAATGTACAGAAAAACAAGCTTCATATTTTGTCTCACTTATAAATACCACATAGCAGTGCGCTAATTCATGAATACCGCTAAAAAAATAATTTATAAATACAATATACAGCACGGAAGTGAGTAGCGCTTATTCATGAATATGCCAATAACTGAATGCACTGTGAGTGATTGCGCTAAATTTTGAATACGCCAATATATGTACATGTACAGTATGACCATTTCTAAAGATATTGTCAGGACATAGGAATTATGTGATGCAATTCATGACATCTTAATGCACTGGCTAGTAAGAAAGTGCAATCAGAAAGGGTTCCTTTGAGAGTTCAATTATTGGATGACCTTTCTTGATTTTTTTTCCTGATTTGTTTGTATTTTATTTACCTGATCAGTACAGGTGGCTCCATTTTTACAGGGACTGCTGTTACATTCGTTTATGTTTGTGGAACAGTTTTTGTCGGTAAAGCCTGGTGAGCAATGACAAATGTAGTCATTCACTTTGTCTTCACACCTGTCAAAAAGATGAGCATTTCTGTATAAAACCATGGAGGAAAAATTTAAAATGCAACCTGGACTGAACAACTGATTTATAATTTATTTGTGTCTGACATGGTTCTGATTAAAAATCAAGACTGTAAATTATTCTTTCCTTAATAATGATATAATATACATGTTGCAAAGTAAGTCAAGCTATAAAAATACAAGATCATGGATCTTGGATGAATTTAGCCTTTAGCTAAATTTCCCATGTCTAATCAACTAAACTTTCTGTCTAAGAAATCTGCTTACGTGGCACCATTCTGACATGGCTGAGGGGAACACTCATCGATGTTGGCATCACACTTTGCTCCCGTATAGCCCGCCACACAAACACACCGATACTCATTCTCCAAGTTCATACATGTCGCTCCATTACGGCAAGGGGAGGAAGCACATTCATCAATGTCTACACAACTGCCAGAATTATCTACAACAGCAAGAAATTTGGTAAGACAATATTAGACCCCTTAGGAATACATGTGCATGTTTTTATGTATTTTAGTAAAATATACCGGTGTACAAGTACCAGCCTGTTGTCTCAGTTTAGTACATATAAAACATGTATCTCTAACCTGTGAAGCCTGGTTTGCATACACAAGCGTAAGCGTTGGTAAGATCCTGACAGATTTGGTTGGCTCCCGTACAGTTGACACCAAGACAATTATCAGCATTGACTTCACATTGCTTCCCCTGAAATCCCTGCACACAGCTGCAGTTGAATCCTCCCACTTCATCCTGACAAGTCCCCCCATTCTTACATGGGGCAGAGGCACAGTCATCTGTGTTCTGAAACATCATCAACAGTCCAATGCAAAAAAAAACTACTCTTATCTCTCTGTAAATTATCTAATAGCAATTATCATAAAAGCAAACGTTTTGTGTGGGGAGTGAAGAAAAAAGTAAATCTAATGGAAATTATACAGAGTTTCCCACGTACGACAGAACTTACCGTCAAACATTTCTCTCCCTCATATCCAGCTGGGCAAGAACATCGGAATGATCCTGGTAAATTATAACATGTTCCACTACCACATAAGTCTGGGGTCACCTGACACTCATTGACATCAATATCACAAGAACTTCCAGAATAACCTACAAAAAATCATTAATTATACGCACATGCACTAGTCTCTGCTCTTTTTCTTTCCGCATGCTATGATATATTTTAAAACAATTTAAATAATTTGTTTCAAATAACCATCATGTGTATTTATCATGTGATTTACATGATTTTACATAGAATTCCAGTCAGTATAGTCTTTTACTGACCACTAACCTGTACCAGTACAGTTACAAGTGTGGGAATTTATGCCATCAATGCATACTCCGTTCACACAGGGATTTATTGCACATTCATCTATATCTTTCTCACAGTTGGTTCCCGTGTATCCTTAAAAGGTCAAACAAAGAAAAGGATAAGAATAAGGTTTATCCTCCATCTCATAGGGGAAATAACCCTTATTTGGATGAAGATAAATTTTTAGTATCTTTTTTTTTACATACTAGTAAATGTTAAAATATCTTTGTCCAGTTTTGACCATTAAAATATGTTGAATTGTGTATCGGGAGCATATTTCCTCCAAAACTGGTTCAAAAAGGTAGCAAAAACAGATATCATTCTCAGAATGAAAACAAAACTAGAACTTATACATGAAGTCATGTTAGCATGAAGTTAGATTATGGTGCAATCTTGAAGTAAATTCTGACTGAAAAGTCAGATTTGACAGGAAATATATCTAAGACTAATCTTACCATTTCATTCTAGGTAGTGCTTACCTGGCTTACACTGACATCTGTAGTTCCTAACTCCCGAGGTCTGATTTGAACAGGTTCCGCCATTGAGACACGGACTCACACTACATCCATACACACCTACAACATATAAAATATACTGTATACAGGGAAATTTTTGCCCCCAGTTTATTTTTGCCCCTATCGTCCATGTCAGAAGTGGGCGAATTCAAAGTAAACAGTATAATACATAACACAAAAATCTTTCTGGGTGAATTTAAAACATGGCAAACCTGTTTCCAAATATGAAAGGGCGAAAATAACAAAGGGCGAAAATAACACAGGGCAAAAATAACCAAGTATACAGAATATACCAAAGGACATCAAATTACTCAAATACAGAAAAGGTTTCAGGGAACAAATGAAGATTTAGACAGAGTGAGGAATCAGGTGCATCTTGCAAGACTGAAAAGTTGAACATAGCATGTAATGGGAAATAAGGAATTTCTAAAATGCATTTACTGGGTATAACTTCAGTAATATTTGATTTTTCACAATTTCACAATTGTGATTATGCATGTGGATAAAAAGAACAATTTGATACAGACTGGCATTGGTGAAAATGGCAAAAAAACGTTTTCAGCAAATGTTAAAAAAGATAATAATGACATACTCAGATCATTTTCACAATTGGTTCCATTGTAGAGGTGAGCACACTGACATGTATAACTGCTAGCCCCCTCTACACAGGTGCCACCATGTTGACAGGGGTAGTTGTAGCAGAACCGGGAAACCTCATCTGAAACATACAGGTACACTAATTATGAAAGCACACATAAATCTTAACTATCATAAGACATGGTATACATGTACCTATAAAAGGAGGGTTGCATAAGAGATTTTTATTGTTAATTTATCATATCATAACTGCAGATCTTAATTTGCAGCATTATCTCATACTTCAATTTTCTGCATGCATAAAACTGTCAAATGAAAACATTCAACTTAGGTTGAATCTAAGAAGAAGTAAATGGATGAAATATTAGCAGGTTTGCATTTTGTTCTGCGTCTCAGTTTGGCATTTGAATGTTGACTATGTACCTGTTTTCCCAATTGTACACTTCAATGCAATATGTCATTATTACATCATAAATGACATACCATTAAAAATTACAAGTTATTTCCTCCACCTTGAATAATAATCATGTCTGCATGCAGTTGCATATTAATTTATACTGCAGACTTTCTCCTTGCATGATATTTAAAGATTGTCTAACCATTTTGAATTCAAGCGTCTAAAATTTTGACGATCTGTTGAAATTATACCGTATATTACTGATTACCAGAAAAAATTTGTCTGAAATTTATCTTGGAATTTAGATATAACATCTACAAATTAGGATTTTAAGACTTGGATATGAACAAAGTGTGTAGACCTTTCTGTCAAAATCAAAACTTGATTAGTTTATGCATAATGTCTCGATGTTTTATATCCTATGCACCACAAGGTCCTGACACAAAGCACGAACATATTTTATAATTAATTCATCAAAATACTGCATTATTAATTATTTCTGATTTGGTTCCTTTGCAGCGAGTTTAAGGAATGGTTTGCGCCAAGTGAAAGAGTATATTGCTCATTTACAGAAATTCCATAATAAACTCGGGAGAGTAATATTTGCTTAAATTACAAAATCAGATTTAATCCAACAGAAAAGCTTCAAGTTGTTTGCATCATTTGACAATTTATGATACTGAGTATGTTACCACTAGATCTTTTCCACTACAAGTAACATGTCTTCTTACTATAACAAACTTAAATGTTTTGATAGTATAGCAAATCACATGCAAATGAGCTAACAAAACACTATAACAAGTTACTTTGAAAACACTCTATTTAACAAAATACATAACAAACTACTAACAAAACACTGTGTTTTGAACTTTATAGAAAATCACATGCATATGAGGCTAACAAAACACTCTAACAAAATACTAACAAAGCATAAGTAACAAATCATCAATAAACCACTAAATTTGAATTTTTAAAATTATAATTAGCAAATTCACAAGTCTTTGAAAACATCTAAACACAGATATTGAAACATTATTAACATCTTGTTTCACAGTATTTTGAATTCCAGGTTTGACATTATTGTTCAATAGACAATAGCACACCATTCCAACATTTAAAAACACCAAGTTCGATTCATGATCACTCTCTTATAGGCAGTGAAATCCTTTGGTGTAAGAGATATAATTCTATTGACCATTTCTCCATTCACATACATTTTCACAGAATTTTCAAGTATAATTATAATTCATTTAACCCAGTGCTTATAAACTGATCTAAGCTGGGTAGTATATGGATTAAAGGTCAATCTTAAAATGAACAAAAACCCAATAAAAACAGGCCATATACACATCCACATTCACAGATTGAAGGTTTAACTGTAGTCCAGATTAAAAGAACTTTATGTCATGCAATAAATAAATACCTCTGTTATATCCAGATTCATCCTGATTTTGCTTTTTCCAATCAGGTAATATATATACTAACACTTTACATGTCCCTTCACCAATCTCTATGTTTCTCTCTGACAGTGCTGGTGGTTTGAAAATTGGCTAGTAACACAGGATATAAATAGATAAGTTGTTCAAGATTTTATCTCTTCAACCCTTAACATGTCTGTTAATCAAATGAAATGCTAACAAAATATTAATTTGATGCAGACTATAATGAAACACTTTCAAAATGCAATTTCATTCTGCAGAGTAAAAACATTTTAAATAAAACACCAACATTGTAAAAACTTAACAAAATACCATGCCACCCCATCCTGTAAAGTATAGCATTGTTTTATGAACATCCAAAACATACATATAAAAGTATGATTTGGTAGTGTTTTGAAGATATTTTGAAAGTATTTTGTTAGATTTCTTTTTCATTTGGGTTCTTTTCATAATTAAATTTATAGTACTTATAAAAGACATATCTCATATACCATAACTTGAACAGCTACTAGCTATCCAATTTTCTAAAGAGAAGATTAAGGCTTTATTCTAAATAGGCTATAAGCTTAGGAAAGCCTGTCCTGTGACTTCTCTAAAGAAAATACCATATTTGGCACCAATCATTGTTTCCAAATTTGGTAAAACATGTACAGACATACTGGTATATACAAAATCTTTCTAAACAAGCTCTTTTTACAGCTGATTGAGAATAAAAATTCACATAAAAACTGTTTTATGAACATCCCCATGATGTTAATGGAGGATATAATTAACCAGTATACCTGGTTGACGGTCAGTACAGGTGTGACCAGTCCTTACCTGTGGTTTGTGCCATTGTTACAGAAACTGTCAATAAATAAACTACAATCCTCCTACTTATCAACACAGACATTTTGTTTGGCACAATGATTTCACTAATTCTACGTCTTCCACAAAAGACTAAAAGTAATCCATACAAAATATGAAAAATCACATAATACTTCTTTAGGTCTTCAAGGTCTCTGAAATATGTAAACAATTTCACCACATCTTTTCACATGGCCCCTGTTTTTTAAAGATGAGGGCTATTTCCACTGGACTTGGTAAAATATAGGTCTGAGGTGTTGATCACAATTGCTTGTCACTATATCCCACAGCTACAATGTAGTTTGAACTCGTAGTAGATGATGATTGATTAATGAGCCATAATTAACACAATAACCCTCATTCTTCACCAATAACAATATACCTGTCCAGGTATTTTCTTTGAAAACCTCTCAAAAAATTGGAATGTGAATGATTAGGAAATAAACTGGAAATAAATATTACATCATCAAAAATCAATAATGGTTTGAACTTCGCACACTTTCTTTGATTTTACTGGCAACACATGTAACGAATTTCCTCCAGACAAATATGTTCATTGTTGTTTACACTACTCAACTAATTGATCCAAGAAATTAAAAACATATCCAGAAGTCAAATCGATGAGAGAACATAGATCAGTGGTCATATAATTTAAGGACAGGTAAACTCAGGTGTCATAGATCACTCAAAATCAATTCCGCTGACATTACAGATACATAACTGCAACACCGAGATTCCACAATTTTTAAAAGGGAGCGTTTTAACGGTGACTCACAATCCTTGTTCACCTGAGTAAAAAATACCACTGCTAGTTTTCACACATGTGACCCTGTAGAAAATTAAATATTCCTGTCCCGTTTGTCAGTCATGCATTGCCAACGTCTAGCGCTCTAATCGTTCAGACCATTCCTACACCATTCCTAAGGTACTGGACTATCAGGGATTATCCAGGATAATCTCTAGCTGGTAAACCTTCAGGGCTCAAATCAGAGCATCAATCAGGCTTTGAGATGTGTTCACAGATTTTTTGTTCAGTGTTAAAACTGTCCCCAAGTATTCTGGATCCCCAATAATCCCTTGACACTGAGCCTGCAACAATTCAGGAGGGACAGAAATCTGATCCTTGGGGGTAAGGAAGATGATAAGGGGTTACAGACAGTGTCTCCTCCCTAAGATAGGCATAAACTCCTTGTTACCCTTCACCCTTCACTGGTTTAAAGTGTCATTGTTAGAAAGTATGGAGACATTTCAAGGTCTTTTTACCTTAACTTGCTGAATATGAACATGGGCTTAGATGCAAACTGCATGTTACAAAAGGTGAGAATATAAATATTTACATACTGGTATTCCTCTCTGACAAATAGTTCTCACTAATCAATCCTGAATGTAGAGTATGTGCTTTCTTTATTGTAAATATTCAATATTGATGCAGACTAATATGATCAATGGAGAAATTTAATCACCAGTGTTAGTGTGTGGTTAAGTCCACTGCCAATTTAATGCTTGTTTTCCCAAACTATATGCTTCAACGTACATTAAAAAAAAACCAACATTTTTTAGATTGCAAGGTCAACAGGTCAATACAAACATGCCATAAAGAGTTTTTAGATCTTCTGCCCAACCCCATTTTTAATAAAAAAATTAATCCAAAATTTCAACAAGAGGCCCATGGGCCTTATAGGTCACCTGAGCATCATGCAAAAACTTTCCAGTGATTGAATTTGGTTCATGTTTTAAGCCAGATGCTATGGCACTCACAATTTTGAAAGAAATTTCATCATAACTATACAGCAATTTTAGTGTGTGCAAATTTATGGATATAGCGAAGTCATCTTGGATCCCACGAAGCTTTGTAAATTTAATGAATTTCTTATAAGGTTATAATGAATTACGGATATAGTGTGTATAACATTTTACTGAACACTTAGCCATTGCTAATACCCATAAGCAGGGTTGCATTTAAATTAATCAGTAATATTCAAATACTATATGCTTCACACATGTACAAATTTTGAAAAGGCAATCACAAATACTTGATTAATACCAAGGAGCAGATATCAAACAATACATTCATTTTCAGTATATAAGTAGACCCCCCCTCTAAGGGGGACTTCACAATTCAGAAGGGCCCTTGTCAATAACTATATACATACTTAATAACTAGGAGCAGAGAAGAAAATTTTCAAAGATTTAATGTATTTTCATTATATAATAAATAGAGCCCTGCCCTAACACCAGAGCCCCTGATTCTGGGGCCATAAAATTCACAATTTTGGAAGAGGCACTCTTGCTCATCATAAATATGTACCATTTTTTTCAAAGAATTAATGTATTTTCAATATAATTAAGCCCCCAAAATTTGGGGCCAAAAAAGTTTTGGAAATCATCATAAATATGTACTTAGTGTTTATCTAATACCCAGGATCAGAGAAGAAGATTTTCAAAGAAATAATGCATTTTAAATATCCCTAGCACTTTTTCAGAATTTTGGTACAGAACTCAATGCTGATTACAATTAAGCAGTTTGACTGCTTGATGTCCAGGAGTAAAGAAGAAGATTTTTAAAAATTTAATTTTAGTGGTTTTGGCCCCACCCCTCAGGCAAGGGAAAAATTCACAACACAATGCCAACACAGAAGAAGCTGAAAATGTTCAAATGTTAATGTACTACGCACGATGATGGACGAAAAGTACTGGGGTAAATCATTATTTTGTTTCAGACATCCTTAAAATATGTTTTTTTAAATACTTATATGACAAAAAAAAAAACACATGGCAGCATGATAATTTGGCTTTTTTTTTTTAACTTTCATCTGAATTAATTTTTCAAACAAAAGGCCCATTGGCTACAATGCTCATCTGTGTGGCTGTGGATCAGGGTCATGATTTGAACAAACTAAAATTTAAACTATCCGAACATGCTTCACTATACATATAACTAATTGTCTTTTTTGTTCTTGAGAAGAACAGTTTGAACAATTTTTCCTTTGTTTTCCTATGTTAAACTTTTATTGCCCACACTGTCTGGGGTTATACTTTGAACAAACTTGAATATTTACTATCTAATGATCCTTAGTACATAAATATAACTAAATAATCAAGACTTTGTTGTTCTTAAGAAAAAGAATATAAGATTTTCCCTATGAATTTTTATGTTAAACTTTTATCAACCTTCGTGGCCCCATGCTATCCTCTGTGGTATGATTTGAACAAAATTGAATTTTTTTTTTACCATTTTATATATTACTGCAGAAAGCTTTCAATTATTCAAATCAGTTTCATCTTCTCTGGCCCAGTTTTTCTTCTTTAGATTTTTAAAATTTTAATATTTCCTAATTACCTCCCTTGGAACAGAGTGTGACCCATCTTTGAGGAAACTTGAATCCCCTTTACTTAACAGGATAACCAATGCCAAGTTTACATGGCTGATATTGGCCTATTGACAGGAGAAGATGAAAATTTACAAAAAGACAATGACAGACAAGGGCAAAATTCAACCACCCCAAAATATCTCAAGTCTTCAGCTCAGGTGAGTTAAAAATGCATAGTTTTTAATTACCCTGGTATCAAATATTAATGAGAAATTTATTGATTTCATCTCCTTACAAACAAATTAAATATCTCCTTATTAATGAGGGAATAACTATCTTCTAATTTGGTATTTACAGTCATAAACTGAGTTTTACCAGCGACGCATAAACAGAGCCAGTAAAACGGATGTTTGCCATCGTTAAATCAGCATTAACGGTCGCTAATACCAAATTAGAAGATAGTTATTCCCATTCTAATGCAATCCATGCATTTTGTTTGTTGTTTACATCTTATTTTTTGAGTTTCGTTATATGAAAAACATTGTGTTTTTGCGTTGCTCTATAATGACATCACAATGTAAAGCTTTCACTCTTGTTAATACTCGTTTTACTCTTCAAACATCAGTGCATTAGCCAATCAAAACATGTTTCACAAAACAATTGTATTTGAATAATGATTTAATTGGCAGAAAAACTTTGGTTCAATATTCTGTAATTTATTAAATTCCTTTTACTAACATTCTGCATACTGAGGACTGTAAAAATGCTGTGATTTATAATATCTCTATTTCTCATTTAACAACCCCACCCCTCCCTAATGATAAACCAGAGAAGCAGTGTTTTTTAATACTGCTGAGTGAATTCTAGATAGGACTCTTGTGTCCTATGGACATATTTTTAGTTATTCTTCTCTCAATCTTTCATGTCTATTGACTACATACAACATTAAAAAAAAATAATCTCTCATATTTCTATGATATCAAAGGTAACATTTAAAACATGTATTATTCTCAATTTACCATTAGTTTATATTGTTCGTTATAGGACCACATGCATCATTGATTACATATTTTGAAATCTGCACGTATAACAATACCTACCACTATTACAGGTGATGCCATCTAGTGGACAGGTGTTCAGGCTCCATAACACACCTATGGCCCTGACATTGCTGTTATCCTTGAAGGTCATCCCAGGGCCCTCCAGCACACACCCTGTGAAACCCCGTCCAATCACCAAACCATCGTTTCCAGTCAAATCAATGGTGAACAGACTGGATTGGTAAGTTGAATTAGCTAAGAATATCCTGTGTTGTATCTGACTACCCTTTAAGATTTCTAAAGTCACTACACCAAGTCTATTTCTCAGATCCAGGATATACCATGCATTATTATTGAGTCTCGTGTTAGCTGACACAGAAATTTGACTAGAACTGGACTTCCACCGAATATCTAAACTTTCATTAATTAATTGTATACTAAAATAGTCCCCTGACTGGCCCCTCTGGTAAAGTAGCTGCCCATTGTTACAAGTCTTGAAGGAGAAAGTCGTCTGGAAGGCATTGCTATCAAAGATGAGTCGGCTGTTGTTGATGGTGAGAGACGAGTTGAAGGTGGAGTTGAAGTAGGCTGTACTGTTGTTGAGTGAGGAAGTGAGTGGCAGCAACAGGATGAGGTAATAAGCTGAAACACACAAATATAGATATGGTTGTACATGTTTTATTTATAATTCACACACATGTATGTCAAAAGCATTTTCCACTCATCAAAACTTAAATGATTATTCCTACAATTTAAGTTCACAGTATTTATCTCATGTCCTGGATTGATCTTTCTGCAGCTAGCTCAAAAGGAGACTTACCATCTCACTTGAGTCATATACCCATGCACCCTCCTTTTTTTTTGTTTTTTATACATAGCTTTTCAACATGAAAGAAAATATTGCAATTGCCAAAAACTTTAATGGACAAACTTTCAATCAGGGAAGCTTGAGTGAGCCTTAATTTGTGAGCTCATGAATTGAGAAATTTTTATATAACATGGACTCCTTTCCTGATATTTGACAAAGAAAGATAACTCTTGGTATGCTCTTCTTATGATAACATTTTAAAAGTATTGGTTTGCTCATCATCGAAAACCACGGCCAAAATGTATGATCCTCTCCCATTCTGGCCATGGTTGAATGAGAAGAGAATATTTCATACTTCATCAAAATATTGACCAATGCGAGTAAAGCATAGTCTGCAAATAAACTTTATCGCAAATTTTCAATACCCAATCGCAGTTTAAAAAATATTTCTGTGTACTGATAATGTCAATGTTTAATTCAATTGTGATGGAAACAAACATTGCCATTGGCTGAATATGATGTCACAGATAGAGGCGGAAATATTCAAGATTACGACAATTTATGTGATCAAGCAGCCATGGTTAGGAGAGAGCTATATGTGCATGGACTCCCAACCGTGGCATGAGACGATGTACCTAGTTTGCTTGGAGTAGATGAAGGTGCCCACACTATTTTTTTGCTATAAGACTGTTTTTTAAATTTCAGGCAAGCTAACATTAAATATTTGTTTGCATAGTCTACATATAATGTCTTGTTTCAATACAGAATTAATGGAAATTGCACTATGAGCTTACTTAGCTGTTACAGTGTATTTATATAATAAGAAATTTATTTCTGAATTTTGATTATGCACTGACAAATTTTTACACTTCAAAGCCATTGACTCTACTGTTCAACATTTTAGTAAAATGTAACATCTATAAAAGATCAAAAACAAGCTGTTGCAGATCCATGAATTTCAGTTGGGGGAGGAAATAAATATTTTTAGATGCAGGGGGTCTTGGGATACCTTGAGTACCTCAGTTTGTCAAGGGTAAAGGCTGGTGGGTGTTAAAGGGGCAACATGCACCCTAAAAAGATTTTGAATTTTATATATTTTAAGAGTAAAATTAACTTTATGAATTAATTGTGCCCTTATAGCAAATAGAAATTTTAGCAGAAACAAATTGCTAAAATATTTTCAAAATAAGGATTTTTTTCAAAATACTGTAGACATACTTTTTTCCCCATGGAATTAATTTCCGCTATATATAAAAATACAATTATATTTCCGCAGAAATTTTTCACAGCGTACTAAAGATTCATTAAGGACATATAACTTTTTGACAATCACAAAAAAATGAGCCTCCATTGTGTCAGCCTAATTTCATACCTTTAAAACGCTTTAAAAATAGATGAAACATGTGGTGTTATAAACAGTGAAATTTTGAAGAATTGCTTTTACGCAGAAACAAAGAATCAAATCTTCGACAAGTAATGTCAATTTCTGTGCATGAAAACTTATCTAATTACTTTTACAGTAGTATCAATATAAATATTTTTTGTGTTGGTGTTCATATATATTTGTTTTAAATGTTTTGAAAACATATTAAATACTGTCTGCTAAAACTACTATTTTTTAAATTGGATTTTTCATTTCGTTTAAACATTCTTCATTCAATTTGACACGTTTAATTCATTGTTATACATTCCTTGTCTCTTCAAACTGTTTTATGCATAAATTAAAAAGAAAATGGTTTTTTAAGGTATTATGAGGTATTTTCACTGTGTGTACTCACAGTCATTCCTAATCCATACAACCTTAGCAGAATCTAAATTAAATATTTATACATCAAATCATTCAGGATATAAAAGAACAGAGCTCTGGGATATTGTGGATAAGAACAGTGATCCATTTTCACCTTTGAGAGGGTTTTTAAATATATTTATTTACTCAGAATGAGAGGCCTTCTTACTGATATACAGACTTCAATAGATTAGATAGAAGGCTACCAGGGGTTAGAAAATCAATTTATTTCAATTTTCATTCGCAAAATGCTTGGAAATAATAAATTAGTAATACTTACATCAGATACATGTAACTTTAAAAATTATTTGTAAGAATACCAGTGAAAACTTTAAATTTATATATTAATAATTTTCTTTAGGTCTGATAAATATATCAGACCTATTAAAAGAAAATTATTTCATATAACTGAGTATTTGCCACTCCCCTCCCCCCCCCCCCAAAAAAAAAGTAAACTTCTATTTACAACAAAGATCCAAAACAAGACCTAATTTGTGCTTTGTAGCTATAAAGTTGAGTAATAATATAAACAAATGTAACTTTACTGCCTCCCACTTAGTATTGAATCTTATCAACATAATTTTGATGAACTCATCAATAGACCTCCACACAATGACTTCCCCCTGTTGCCCCACACTCCCCCATTTGAATTTACCTGTGCTCTACCTTTATTGGTTTACTGCAAATCAGTTCACACAAGACAGGTCATGGCATGTGTGGTATGTCCCAGTATTGACTGTGTAGTATAGTCTGTTTCAACTCTTATCAATGAATACACAATTCCCACTATAAAACCCCAACTTTGATCTCTCCTTTAAATACCCGAGACCCAATTACACTAATGCTGGAAAATAAATTGAACTACAGATCCCTTTGTTTCTTTGGTCCATTTCAGTAAATTTACACAAGCATTAAACATTCTTGTTAAATGATTTATTTCTAATTGTTGACCAAAAAATAAATTTGAAGTACGTAATTTTCGACTTGGGGTAAATACCTTTTTCTAGCAGTTCATAGTTTCTTTAAAAAGTTTAAAAAAAAACAAAACATGGCTATTTGATGAGTACATTGGTGTATATCTTCATTTTAATAGCCAAATCACTTTTTAAAGATTCATACCCAAACCCATCCTCTCCTCAAGCTCTCTCTTTTTTTAGAGGTGGGGTGGGATGGGGGTCACATTTTTTCTCAAAGAATAACCTGTCCACTTCCTTGAATTCTATAAAAATAATCTTGTATTTACAAAAGCTAAATATACTGAAAACATACCCAGAAAGAACTTTGACTCTAGACTAAGCAGGCATATCAAGAGAAAAGGATAAATGAAACATAATAGATTCTTAAATGTCTCATAGCTACACAATGCAGAACCATTTTTGATGTCATTTGAGAGAGTACACTTTAAGAATGATAACAAAAAAAGGTCCAAATGTAAAGTATTTGCATTATGATCAATTCACTACATTCATTGAGAGAAATGTTACCTGATCTGACTAAAACATTAAACCTAATGTTGTTATACAGGATACCTTGACACCAAAAGCAAGCCACACCAGTAAGTACCAATAAAATTAACAATAAGCCAGACCATAGGGCACCATAGCAAGCCACATCACTTAGCACCAATAGCAAGCCACACACCACTTAGCTTTTCTGGCAAACAACACATTAACCCTAATAGCAAGTCAAACCTAAGTAAGCATCAATATTAATTTTATTAAGCCACAGAAATAGTACATGTACTAATAATGAAAATAACAAAATCAGTGAACACAAATTGTAAGCCACACTATTTAGCATCTCAGCAAGCCATACAAGTTAGTACTAATAGTAAGCCCATAACAATCACTGATAGTACCAATAGCAAACAAGACCAGCAAGCAAGCCAAACCAGTAAGCACCAATAGCAAGCCACAACAGTAAGCACCAATAGCAAGCCAAAGTAGTTAGCACAAAAAGCAACCAACAGCAAATCTAACAAGTAAGCACCAATAGTACCGGGTAAGCTGTATATCAATGCAATAGGCATACTTGTTAAAATGTAATGTGAGAAAAAAACCATCTTATTCTCGTTTCCTAGTTATTTCTCATTAACAAAATTTGAGTTTCAGCAAATTATAGATACTTTATCAGTCTATCTCAAAGAAATTATCTTTTTATTGTTTGGATAATGAGGCTCGAACAACTTCTCATGTAAATATTGAAATTGTGTAGACAGATCTGATAAGCAAGTGCTAAAATTGCAACAGGTTGCTCCACCCCTGGTATCATCTAACTCAAAAGCCTCCCCTTCTTGCACTTTCTGACACTCCATTTTGATCCTTGATCCTCCACATTTTACATCTGTTTACAACAAGCAAAAGTGAAGTTCATTTCTTTTCAGTATACAGGGATAAAGATCAATGTGTAGGTAAATAGCTCTCTAATTCACATAAACACACAAACTGTATGCAGTACAGTCAATCCTGGATCAACTGATCAATAATTAAGACACTGTTAATGACAAAGCTGATGAGGTCACATGGGAAAATACAATACTGTGAGTGTTTCAGGTATTTCAGGATCAATGCTGTCCTCCTCCCATTGCTTAAACAGGGATCTTACTCAACCTATAATCCTTAGCATTAAATATCTCCTTTATATTCTAATACACTATTTTTCATTCCTTTGGAATTCCAAGTTCCTTTGGTACATCACATACAATAAGGGTTAAAACACACCCAGATACAAAAAAAAAACCAAAAATGTTCAGTATTAGGTATTTTTCAGCATGTAAAGAATAGGGAAGTGGCGGTTACCTTTTTTGATGACTACACTGTTGCTAAAAATGGATTTTACAAATAGAAACAGAAGTTCTGTATTCTTTAAGTGATAAATGTAATTCAGTTGTCTAGGATTGGGTGTTCTCCTGGCACTTTATTAAAGCTGCTATCTTAATTTATGTTTAGTTAATTAACCACACCTTATCATTTTCCCTCTTGCATGTTGCATGTATAATACTTTGATAAAAGTCCAAGGACCTTGAAAGCATGCATTTTCAAAGTCTATTAAGATATGAAAAAGAAAGACATTCTATGTCATTATGCATGGATAAAAGAGGTTTCAAATTTTATGCAATGTTAACAGTGACAAAGCAGATTTATCTAAATATGTGTATTGTTTGTAGGTTATTTAACTTAAAAATCAAGATAATGTCTTACTGGACTTTGCCATCTATGTGTGCTTCCTGGACTTAGGAAAAAGCAAAGTTAATACATGTAAACAAGGGGTAAAAAAAATAATCAGTGGTATTAAACTAAATACATGTAAATATAAAGTATTATTATACATACATTGATTCTCTATTTGAACTAACTTGAGAGAATAAAGATATTTTGTCAGGATAAGAAAATTTACATCAGATAAGAAAACTTTGAGATTTAAAAGAATGTTAAAATATATATAATTATCTCATTTAAATTAATTCAACTTACTTATAAGTCTTGAGGTATCAATTAAGACACTTTAAAAGATAGATAAAGTTTTTATTTAAAAAAAAAGGTCTTTGGGACTATCAAGTTCTTCAGAGCATTCCAATCTAAGGCAGAGCAGGTAGATTATAATCATTTCCATTTAACTGATGATATTTAACTACTAAAAATTGTTATGAAAAAATACTCATTCAGGAAATGGTCACAGCTAGCTGTGTATATATAATAATTTAACAAAGTGTCAAATGACATAACCTCCACTATATGAAACTGATATATTTATCATAATCAAGATACCAAAATGAAAAATTTGAATTCCACATCATTGTAACAAAGCGGGTTTTTATCAGCTTATCACCGTTATTAGGAGATAGGAGACCGAGATCATAAATGTATCTATAAAAAGGCGGCATGGCTTGCCAAGTTTGGTGATTAATTGGGTTTGGAAGGGAGGTATACCATTCATTTCCATTTGAAGTCTTAGAAATAATATCAAAGTTTTAAAACACAGATGTAAAATTCTTTTTTTTTTCATATGGGAACATTAGATGATAATATGACTTAAACATCAAAGGGGTCATACCATTCACTGAAATATGAAATGACTTTTAAAATTCTTGTTCATTAAAATTCTTTCCCTGCAGTTTGTTTACAGATAGATATATGTATGTTTAAGTATATGTGGAATGTATAAATAGATATTGTTTTCAAGTTTATACAAGAATTTCAGTTCTACTGTTATTGTACAAACATCCACCTGCAAAGTAAACCTACTAGGAATATAAAAGTATTGTTATTTTGGAATCCATTGATTCAGAAGAATAACCTAAAATTAAACATACAGGGTATTGTATAACCTGTAATAGTGAACCTAGTGGTGTTATTTTTATTTTCTTAAGACCTTTTCAGGATAATCTAAAATAGGTATACAAATGTTATGCTTGTTATAATGCCACCCCCCCCCCCAAAAAAAAAAAATCAATGATAAAATTCTAACTGTTTGATATCTTGTTAAACACTGTTTTCTTGGCAATAAATACCGTATTATCCCTAGCTATTAACCGCCCAGGGCACTTAAAAAATTGCAGAAGGGGGAGGTTTTATTAGTATTCTCTTTATGATATTTAATGTCATATTTCAACTTCAAAAAATCTTTGAAAAAAAAAGCTAAATGATTCATTTTCCACTGAGAAATGGGATTATAGACAGATTTCATTTTCATTTCTCTAAATTTTGGCAGACTTTTGATACGATTCTAGATGATTTTAATCACTGTACAGGGGGGCCCTTACTTCCTGACAATTGAAAAAGACCTAAGGGGGTGCTTTTAGGGGCAGGGGCGCTTAATAGGGATTATACGGTATTTTGCATTGTGTAATGATGACTTTCAAGAAATGTTCAGCAAAGAATTTATACTTTAACATTTTATTTAAAACAATGACAGTTGTAATTTACATATGTATCAAACTTCATATACACAAAATATAATTTATTATCATGATTATTGGACCTTGACTCAAATTAAATGTCAAGGTCATTTAAACTGTCAATTGAATTTACATTTTAAATTTGAAACCAGAATGCTTTCTGCATTGTCAGAATTCCTATCATGTGTGATGATTTTACTTTTTCTATTTTTGTTGTGCTCAAAATTTTGAAATGATGCTAGATTGGTAAGGTATAGACCATCAATCAGCCCTTGACATTTTAACCTCTCCCTGTTTATAATTTTCTTTTCTAATGATAGCATAAGCAGAGAATACTTGAAACAGGAAGATGTTGATCCGACTTGTAAAACATTACAATACTCTGGATAAGTCCCTAGTTTTCATTTATAGATTTTTGACACCTGATACCCATATTGTTATATATTATTTTTTTTAAAAAATAGTTTAAAATTCTAAATAGTTGTAACCTTTTGCTTTCTAAACTGTCTCTCTTTTCAATGTGAGTTGTCTGTTATAGTTTTAACATTTTTCAACTTCTCTAAATTAACGGGTCAATTTCAATGAAACCAACTTACAAACTATTTGTGGCAAATGAATTTTAATTCTTAAAAATGTATTTAAAATGCTAGAGACCTGAGTAATTATACAAACTAGACCAATCCTTAGTCAAATTTAGTCAAATTATAATGCTAAATTATTTGGAAGATTTTTTTATATATTATCAATTTCAACTCTGTGTGCATTTAATTAATAAATGAATTATTCAATATATCGATGAGGTGCTAGTTTACAAGCTGTTGAAACACCAGAATATCCAACTTGAATACCTGGCTTAAATGCATACAGGAAGGAATGTCCTATGTCAATTATATTACAGAAGATGGTTACACAACATGCAGCATAATAACATACAATTTTCAGAATTTTGAAGGTTCGGAGAAGAGCGGGGAGAGATCGACATCTGCCACATACTGAGTGATCTGATGTACAAAACTAAGTTTAATCTTTGACAGATTTTAAAATGAATCCCCCAATAAATGGAATGCAGATTGCTTTGTTATTGCGCCGCCATCTACAGCATTGGTCAACGGGTCATCTACGATGTTTATACCTTAAACTTACCGAAATAAAACCCCACCTGTAGCTTCAAAGCTACCCCAGGGGTTCTGGGTGACGTTCCCCTCATCTCATGACCCTCGCGAAAAACATTCCTCCTTCACAAATTTGTAAACACCATTTCAAAACAGACGACAAATTTCAACATGTGAAACTCAACTTGACACTGCCAGAATTAACTCTTGGTCACGTGATCGACCAAAAACCGCAATTAACACACCTGAACAAAGAGTTTTCTATCTAACAGACAATGTCGTTATCATTTTTCGAAGAACTGCTGTAATTTTTTGTGCACGATTAACATTTTGTTGTAAATTATAGGTATATCTTATGTACCCAGGTAAATAATACCTGGATTTATGATATGTGACACGCTAACAATAGCACGCTTGTATTGGGTTTAGAGGGGAATAACTCTAGCACCTCGATGGAATGTGCGACATTCCTTACCGTGTTGTGCTAAATCATGCCAAATCTGCTGAATGACAGTTCATTTTTCACAGCACTGTGTTGCATAGCAGAAATCTTATTAAGCAAATTTTAATTTAAATCATAGATCTACTGCATTTATCATATATAAATTCACTTCTTTATTCAGAGAGAGAGAGAGAGAGAGAGAGAGAGGTACAGAGAAACTTTAATTTCAGAAAATCATTCTTAAAAACAACAGAATTTTAAAGTAATAAAAAACATTAAAACGTTTCTCAATAATAAAGACTTTGCCATTGAAGTATTGCTATTTTAACAATTTGTTTCTCCTGAAATAGAAAATAAGTAGTAGAATTGAAATATTTTTTTTCATTACATGTACCATTAAATTGTTTCTTTTTTTCCTTTTTATTTTTTTTTTTAAAGATTTAAGTGACCCACCATGAAGACCAGAGCACAAGGACATAGTACATGTATTTGTCCTGGAACTTTTCCATTCTCCGTCACCTTAATATACATTTATATCAGCTTTTAAGCTATTTTAATCAAATTTCATACATAGATGAGAGCCATTCAAGTGTTTCAGAATTTTTCATCTTGACCTTCATGTGACATTGACAAAATCATACCACAGTTTGCCTTCAGTTCAGTTTCAAAGAAATTGCCCAAGATATATTTCACCCTTGCTTATACACTGGTACATTTTGGTGAGAGCTATTCAAATTGACATAATTTTCTAACCATGACCTTCTTACAACCTTGTTTTTTATTCATTTGTGCTTGCCTAGTTTTAAAGAAACTGTTTAAGATGTTTGATATACTTTATTATTGATATAAATTGGTAAAGATAATTCAACTGTTACAGATCTCTGAACTATTTCCTTTCCTCTGACCTTGACCTCACTATTCCCTGTTTTGCATTTACCTCATTATTGTAAGAAACTGTCCATATAATTAAAAAAGAAATTTTATTTATTGGTGTGAGCAGTTGAGTTGTGTTATACTTTTCTGACCTTGATGATTCCTATGTGACCTTGAACTTCATACTTTCCTTGCATTCCAAAAAGGATTACTCTACACTACTTCATAATAGATAAATATTTTTTGAGAACATTCAAACACATTTTGGTGTCTGCATATATCAATTTGCTACATACATGTGTGAGAGCATTGGAACTTCATTATACTGTAACCCTGTTACAAAGGTCAAGGACTATACCAGAGGTTTAATGGTTCTGTATTTTGCAGAAATAGAAAAAGCATTCTTTAATCTTTGAAAGTACTTTGAAAAGTGTGCTCACCAGTTAAATAAAGGTCTACATGTGACTGCCAAAAAAGAGAGAGAATTTCTAACTGAAGATTTTTTATCATTTATTTTATCAGTCAATAAATAACAAAACCACTTTGTGAGTAGCTTGACAGCCCACACAGCACCACATTAAAATAACAGGCATCAGTTCCCAGTCTTCTCATTACAGCATTCATAAAAATCCACAGTGAAAGTGCACAGAATTCCTATCAGCACACAAGTCTAAGACAGTGTCCTTAGCAAGCTTTTAAATGAATTAATAGTACTATGTTAAATTCTCATATTCTGGACTGGCAAGTCTTTCAAAGATTGTAAAACTCAGCAGATTTACAATGACAGATTGAAATGTACAAATTAATTTCCATTTTCTTACACAATCTGATCATTACACTAAAGATACATACACCTGTATATAAACATATTAGCCTGTTATTGAATACTAAAATTTTTTACAGATGTTATAATTAACACTCTTATTCAAAACATACTTAGGTCTTGAGTATACATGTATTAAAAAAATCAAGACAAATATGTTTTGGTGCAATCAGGAAATAGCACAAAATACCTAACTTTGTATAGTTCTACTGCATTACTATTGCATCAAAATGTTAATTTTCTAAAGGTAAGTACATGTATATACTCTTCCAGTAATGTATCCATTGATTTTTTTTTTACATGTAAATTATAGTATATATTTCCTACACATGTAAAAATCAAATTCATTTATTGAATATTTCATCTCATACAAAAGATGTTTATATCAAGTAAACTTCTGTACACATTCATATTTATATACATATATACATTTATATACACATGGTAAAACAAATATACAAGAAGTTCCCTTTTAAATTGATAGTAAAGACATTTACACATAAATATTTACATTCCGTGTATTTTTCCTTATGAAATTCATTAGAAATCCACGACATTCAAATTTCTATAACACACGTTGTCATATCACAGTAGGAACTACATTGTATGCATTTTTTCTGTAATCAACACCAAAATGTACAATGTTTTGACTCAATTATTATATAATCCTGTTATATATACTACAAATGTGCGTTTAAAATATACTTTTTTTCCTCGCAATGTTTGTTTGCGTTATTTAACTTTGCAACGTCATCTGACGTCACAAACGGCTCTTAAAACCGCGTATAAAAGCGTTAAATTCACATTCTTAACGAAATAAGCAATTATGAAAAGGAAAATTGAAAGTAAATATAAGCAGACATATTTTTGTCTGTCTTCGGTCCTATAACACACCTGGCCGTGCCGAAAATTTATCTACCGCGCTAACGCGCTGTATTCAATTTGTCGGCACGGCCAGGTGTGTTATAGGACCGAAGACAGACAAAAATATGAATTCAATGCTTAACTATTTCACAGAACAGACTGACATGACAATGTTATGCAGGTCATCAAATGTCCTTGACATCAGACAGACCTATTCCCATGGTGAACTTTCGCCAGTTGTAGGTCATGACCTTCTGTTTTCCTCCAAAAGCATCCTTGATGAATCTTTCCCTGGGTGGTGGGGCTTTTTGTGAGTTAGGGTTGGGAGCTGGAGGGGGGAGGGGTTGTACCCGGGCCCCGTCATATCGCAGGCTCTTTCTCTCCTTTAAGGCAACAGACACCTCCTCATGGACCTACACAAATATATCACAGACACATATTGTAAGAATAACATACACTAAAATTATACACAAGTATACTTAAATATTCATACATGTACACAAAGAATGACACATTTACATCCTTGCTTGTCGTATACTGTAAATTCACATATTTTCGTGGGGTTAAATTTTTTGAGGTTTGAGAAATATTGGTTTGTGGGGATTTGATTTCAAGGTTGGAGCATTTTTGTGTAATAATGTATATGAAATTTTACATTTCCAGGTGATCATGAATACGAGGGTCTCTCCACACCTCAAAAACATGGAAAATTAAACCCCACGAAAATTAGTCATTTCACAGTATATTTAAGAAATAAAGTTTTCATTTTCATAAATGTTGCAGGATAACCTCTGAGGTTGAGAAATATTGTTTGAAATAGAAATCTAAAATGTTTGTGACCCTTTGTACAACCTTGACCTTATTTTTCCCTCGTACAATTTCAAATATAAAAGCACCAAGGTATAATAATATTCAAATGATGTGACAAATTTTATCTTTAATTGCATTTCTTTGTTTGTTTAGAACACCTACATGTTTCTTTTCAATGGCAAGTCTTATGTTGAAGTCTTTCTCTTTCATACAGGCCCTGAGAGAAGGGAAGCACCCCCCGGGACGGATGAGACTGTCCTCCACAGTGGACACGTCAGTATCAGCCTGACTCCATGTGGTCTGGGCAGACTTAGGAGGGATGGAATGGGTGGCATGACTGTCCAGAACTCCACTGCATAAACAAAACACAACAATAAAACATCAAATAAAAGAACAACTCCACTATATGAACAAAACAGAAAAAAAAACTGTACATACAACATAAAAAAATAACAATATTTTAGAACGATAAAACCCAATCTTTGAAATTCTTTAAAGAACTTTTTCTCTTGATATATTTTGTAAGAATATTTATAATAAATTATTCCAATAAATCAATTCCATGGCTCCATATTGTCTTACCTCTCTGTGAAAGCATCATACGTGACTTTGGCCTGAGATTTCTGAGGTTGAATATTGAGTATTGCTCGGATTGCTATCTTGGCTGGATCAGCTGCCCGGCTATTGACGACGTCACCAATAGATTTCCCGGGAAACAAACGAGATAAGATTGAGAGCACATCCTGATTGGTGGGGTCCAGTAAAAGCCCCATAATTAGGTCAAGTCTGGCACCATGGATATTCTGTCATAAAAGGAAGTAAAAAAATGTATCAATGCATTGTACATGTATTTCTTTTGAAATGGCATCAAAGTAGTTTGGATACGAATATCAGAATATGATGGTAACATAGTACATGTATACCTACCTCCAGCATGTATCGGCATCTGGACCTTGTTATATAGTACTGACCTACTTTTGGATTGTATTGTATTGCTTGTGTGAGCTTGTCTTCAGCTTCCTAGAAAAATACACCCAAAAAGAGTGAATACAAAACAGAACAACAGCTTGTTAGTAAGACAATAACAATCCAGAATGACAAATATGTAGGTGGTGTATGCGCTTACAGAGTAATTTTTGTCTTGATAAGCAGTAACACCAAACTCATTGTAAATGACGGAGATACGAGACTTAATGTTGTCATCAGCCGGGTCCAACTCCAGGGCCTGACAGTAGTCTTGTAGGGCAAAGTTAAAGTCATTCTGCCGGAAAAAGCAATCTAAAAAAAATCAGAAAATATAATATACATATATATGTGTATATAGCAAAGAGTCCTATAGGGCAAAGTTAAAGTCATTCTGTCGGAAAAAGCAATCTGATAAAAAAAAACAGAACATAAAATATATGTGTACTGTAAAGAATACTATAGTTCTAGATTTTTTTGTAAATCAAATTTTGAATGGCTCAAGAATTGAAACTAACCTCCCCTGTTGATATACAATCCTTTTTCACGCTTCTCTCCCTTGATAGCTTTATTTAGTAAAATAATGGCTTCTTCATAAAAGCCCTTGGTAAAACACTCCACAGCAAAGTCATTGTAGGTCAACAACAGCTGTCTCTGGGAGTCAATGTAGACAGCTGACTCTTCATTGTGCTCACACTTGTCCAGAGCCAACAGGAAGTCATCGATAGCAGCATTATAGTCTCCCAGTCGCCGGTGGAGTGAACCTCTGAAAATGTATCACGAGTATCATTGTAATGTTTTCTCATTAAAAAAATAGCTTTTAAACTATACATTTTATTTTATAAAGACAAAACATTTTTACTGTAAAATTATGGAAAGAAATGGACAAAAATTCAATGGTTTCCATAAATTCTGTATTGGTTTTATACTCATTCCATTGGTTAAACAAAAAACAAAAAAATTATAGCAATAAGGCATTTTGAATAGGTAGTCACATAAAAGCAATTTGTATTAGGCTACCTTAATACATGAAAATCAGCCACAACAGGATCAGTATCTATGGCAATAGAGATCTTCTGTAGGGCCTCTCGGTGTTTCCCCAGCAGGTTTAGCTGCATGGCCTCCCGCTTGTTGTCCTGGGCTCTCTTCTCCATCTTAGCCATCATGGCCTGGGCCTCCTGGTGATCTGGGTCTACTTGGAGGGCATCTTTGATGTCATAATAACAAAGGGTGGTCTAAAACACAGCAAAAGATACTGCATTCCAGTTTACTGTTGAAAACTTTGTAATAATATTGACATGAACTTTACATTTCTATGAGCAAAAGCACTTAAATAGATAGGAACTCATTTGAAGAAGTATTAAGTATTACTGTATAAAGCCTTACATTTCTAAACATCTCGTGTAGCCTTGCTCTCATGATGTACAGATCAGGGTTTTCATTGTCTGTCTCCAATCTCTTGTTGACTAAGGCCAAACATTCACCATGTCTGTGTAGAGCTGCTAGACAGGTCATGCTAAAATTCAGAAACACAATTAACCACCAAATAAACCAAAAATAGAAAATGAACACTTTAAATAGTAAGTTGTACATCCACAAGGAATGTAAATAAATATAGAAGTTGAGCATAATCTAGCATCTTCCCTAGCCTAAGGGTTTACAATTACACTCTAAAGGAACAGATCAAACTGTAAAATCTTTAATTTTCATGGGCGTTTAATTTTCATTGTTTTCTAGGCATGGAGAGACCCCGGAATTTTTGACCACCACAAAATTTGAAATTCCTTATGCATTTCTACTAGACCTTCTCCAACCACAAAGTCTCCACAAACTAATATTTTTTTCCTCAAACATTGAAAATTTGATCCCACAAAAATATACTATTTTACAGTAAACCAATTGGCTACCAAAGATGATAATCAAGTGGTAAATTAGCAGATATTAGTCGACTGTTAAAGATATGATACAACTAATTTACCTTCTGATGTGATAGCCAGTGTTGTCAGGGTTCATCTCAGCTGCTCTCGCAAATGATTCTAAGGCTTCAGGATAAAGTCTCTGATCAAATAATGTCTGTCCCATAAAATAATACAGAAATGCCAGTCTGGAATAGTACTCCACATTGTCTGGGTCCAGTAAACAGGCTTTCTTGTAATTCAAGATGGCTGACTGGAAGTCACACAGCTGTATGTAAGCCTCCGCTTTCTCTATGTAATAGGCTGGATCTGTCCGGAGTCCCATGGCTTTAGAAATGCTCTTTAAAACCTGCTCAAACCTCCCTTCCTCTTTGGCTTTCATAGCATCATTGAAACTAGAATTAACATACAGTGTATCAGGGAATCAATCAAACATATCATCCAACATTAAACTTTAGAATATTTAACAAAGAAAAATACAAAGTTTAGTAAAACCGAAAAAAAAGAAACTTTGTCATGGGAATAACTTTTTAGATATAATTTTAACACCAATTATTGGCAATTTTTATTTTGTACTTCTCTACAAGTAAATTTAAATTTCTTGATGTTGGCCTGTTGCTAGGAAATGACTTTGTACATGTACAACTATGTAAGCAGAGACAATTTTGTGCCTCTGCTGAGGACTGAACCCAGGGCCTCTGGCTTGCCAGTCCATTGAGCTAAAGGGTTAACCCACTAGCCCAAGCTAGTAGGATGCCATGTATCTAACACTACTACATACTGTTCTTGTGCTCTCTGGTCCACTATCTCCTGCATCCCCGGGGAATACTGAGCCACGGTCCCCCAGTCCTCTGTCTGGAATATACTCTTCCCTTTCGCCTTAGCTTTCTGTAACGTTTCCTCACTGACTGCAGTACTGAACAACCCGTCCTTGTTCTGTCAAATGAAAATGTTATCAAGTCATTTAACGACATAGGGAATTTGATTTACAGCTCGCAAGGATCACAGTTCAACACACTGGCATTTCTTTCTGCAGATATACTTGACAGAAATTTATATATACAGTCAACTTCATTAACTGAAACTCAATGGGATCATGAAAAAACTTTGAGATATCCAAGTTTAATACTAGTATACTGTCAGAGGATAAAATATTTAAAAGAACAAGTACTAGCGACTTCAAAATCACTTCAACTTATCCATGATATTCAAGATAACAAATTTCAAAAGTACATGTAGTTTATCAAAAATCATTTTCCTTTTCTTTTTGTAGATCGAAGCTATTGTAATTTGAATTGTGTGTCTGAAATTAAAGGAATCACAAGTATTTATAGTTTCAGCTTTATAGGTAAAAGTGCAAATTTAATCATTTATAAAGCTGTCTGCTAATATTGCTTCCTCAAAATAATTATCATAAATACTGTTACATGTAACATAAGAAAAGTTAGGACATTGACCTTGGTATGTGCCAGGAATATGGTAAGTTTTTTTATTTTTTTCACAAACATTTTAAGTGGTAAATAGTATGTTTCAGGACTGCAAGTAAGTGTGATCACATGATCAATTTAAAATAGCAATACATTACACATTGTGATAAAATAAAACACAGGTGTGTACAGTTAAATGTTCAATTACATTTTATTGTGCCAACAGGGGGTGATTATTATAAAACCTGTCCAGTGTCTTAATTACCGTCAAAACTGAAAGTATATCTTTCTCTCCCTGAAATTACCATTTGGAAATTAATACAGTAACTTCAAGAAATTTAATCCATAATTTCAAGCTGTAGCTTAACCTGTTAAGCACAAATGATGATAATAAACTAAACAAGAAATTACCGGCATCCCTGAATTGTTGGAATCAGTTCCGTCAGTGCTCTCTCCTTTACTACGGATCTGTATGGAATCTTGGGTAGTCTCCACATCCGTGGTTACCATGGTACCCTCGTTGTCCGTCAAAGCGAATGTGGAGGACTCCTCGACAATCTCCTTCATGGCATCCTCAGTCCTCTTATTCTGCTCCTCCTCAAACTTGGAAGCAGATTTGTGGAACTGGTGTTCCAAGGAGGGATAGAATTGGTGCACATTGATGAGCTTGGGATCTGGTTTGTATTCTGACAAGGTAATCTCAAATGGACTTTGGTCTGAAGCAACAGTGCCCTCCTTGACTTGGTCTTCTGGGCCATTCTGATCCCCAGCTTCACTCTTGTCGTCCAAAAACTCCTTGTCTGGAGAATTCTCTGTTGAATCAGCCATTACTTAGCCTTCAACCAACAGAAATCACCTAGAAAATATGTTGTGAAAAAATAATTCTTTGATTGTACAAACCTCTTCTAAAAAGCTATAGGGATCTTTGAAGTTATTATAAGGGAAAGAGTCATTCAGAGTGCCAATGGACAATGACCAGATGTGTGTGTTGATAAGTTTGTATCCACTTATATTGCATCCCAACAGTCAGTTATGATGGTATATTGATGATGTAATGTAACATCCAGCTAAGTATAAACAATAAATGTTCCACCTGCCTGCTTGTGCAGAAATAAAACTCCCCTTTGTAACGAAAGAGCACACCAAATCAAGGGAGATAAAAGTCAAAACTTGTTCTATGATATCAAATTTCATGAAAAATTTATGCACTTCATTTTTGTAAGAAAACATTTTAAAATTTATTTTAAAAAACCACACAGTACAAATGTATTGGTGTGTCAAGGGGGATAATTACATATAATTTTATGCTTTGATATGATTATATATGCATTTTTTTTGCAATGACATAAAATAAGTATTGCCCATGTGACAGAATTTCGTTATTCAATGTTCCTTGTGTGATAAATTTATGGGAAAATGTTGATGAATTAAAAATTTAAAGTATTATTCAATCTATTAAAATCATATTACTTGATCACATAATGAGCTTTTTTTTTTTTAGATATCAAGGAAACAAAACCATCAAAAATCCATTTACCAAGCCGGTTATAAATCACATATCTACTTCACGTCGGTCAATATTTTTTGTAGCATGGCCGCAGCCATATTTGTTTACGAAAATTGCTAAGGAAGACTGCGCATGCTCTTTACACCTTATCTAAGCATAACACGGATTGGGTATATCCAAATTCTCATCCAATGAAATCCGTTTTAACATTTCGTAAGTCGGGAGTCAATGTAAACTATCATGGCTTCCAAGTCCATCTTTGCAGTAGAAATATAAGAATGGCTTTACCAGAACCCTTATTACTTGACGAAGAGCTCGAAAATCAATGTAACGAAATAAGGGCTATTGCCTCAAAGGTTTGTTTTTAATCAATTAACAACGATAAAAGTTTTTGGTCACTTGTTGACTAATTCTGCATGTTTCCAGTTTGATAAAACGTGATATTCAGATAGGCCTAATGGGATTTCGAAAACTTTTGAACTTTGAAGAAAACTAACATTTGCACTAGACATATTTTGATTAAATTCAGCAAATGTGTAATAACATTAACATCTTCTATTTCTTCGAAATTCAGTTATTGATTTTTTTTTTGAAATTTAGATCAATTGTGTAATGCAGTGATTTTTATTTTGAATGTGCTATTATGGCAAGATTTGTTTCAGATTCTCTTTCAAATCTGAGAGCATGAGAGACAGAGGGACAGAGGTGACTCTATATACGAACTAGTAGCTAGAATGCTATTGTATGACAATTGTAGAAAAATGTTTTTTGAGTGATTCATTTCAGTAGTGCAATAAAATTGCTTTAAACATTGAGGATAATTACCTTAGTTTTTAAATACAATGATAAGATGGTAATATCTGATGACTTAACACCCCCCCCCCCCCCAAAAAAAAATTAAAATAATACCAGTTAATCCCTCGTTAGAATTCCTAGATTGGTTTTCTCTTACCTTCCTTGAAAAGAAGTGAGACTGACCATAGGTTTCTGATGATAAATTTTAACATATTTCAATCATTCTCATATTCTTAATTTTTGTCTATTTTATAGTTGGAAAAGTAATGTTTGATGCATCAAACAGCTGCATCCATCAAAAATGTTAACAAAGATTTTTTTTTAAACAGAATTGGTTGAGCTCTGCCCACAGCTCCTTACAGCATTTGGACCAAATAAAGACCTCAGTGTACAATGTTGGAATCCATGATCCAAAGGACCTTAAAGCCACAAACCTATCTCATAGAGGACAAAGAAGCCAGAGTTATACAGATCTAGCTAATACACCAAATGGTCCACCTGTTACTCTACAAAAAAATGCTATTGCTTGGTATTTTTTCTACAAAATATATATTGGTCATGAAAATGAAATGCTTAAATAATTTTATGTGATCTTGCATATGAAAAATGTTTTAGATATATGATAAATAGGATAGTACATACTATCTAATGAATGCAGCAAATTATCATATATACATATCTGTTACATGTACATGTACTTGTTAAATAATATATACTATATGCAAAATGTATTATGCTGTTTTGAAGTTTCTGAGTTGTAACAGCAATGTTAAAAGTCTGGAAACATTTTGAGATGTTAGCTTTTAAACATTTTCTGGAATATTAGGGGAAGTAATGGATCAATTCCTGACCTACTTGCTCAGCACAGCGCGCGATCTCAAATGTCTGAGAAACCCTCAGTCAGGCGCAACCGTCCTACAAGTGGAAAAAAATCTCGACCTCAGAGTGCAAAAGAGCTACACAATGTAAAGGGATCCCAGCTCCCACCCAGAGCACCCAGTATTGGAGGTAAATTTTACAACAATAATCTGTTCACAAGACGTACCATAAAATCTGTCTTGATAAGCTCCAAATCTCAGTAAATGGTTATCGTTTGAAAGAAAAATGTTCTGAATGTAAGCTTTCATAAATTATTTTATAGTTTTTTCCTTCTTTCTGTTTATCTACATTTTAGTTGCCTAAATCCAAATACACTTCTAAAGGTACCATTACTATACAGCCATGATACAGAAACAGGGCAAAATTAAGTTTGATAAAAAATGGCTGAATAAAACAAATATCAAGAAAAATGAGATAATGGTAAAAATCATCATTTTCCCCTTCTTTCTTAAAAAAAAACTTATTTCAGTGAAAGGTGCACGAGTGGATCCATCAGGAAGACCCCCTAAAACTGTCCATCACACATCAACTGGGTGGGTGGGGCCCCCAGCAGGCCTCAAGTTTGCTGATGATCTACCAACAGGTAAAATAAATACTATTGATTCAAACAATACTTCATGGAATTTCACCTGGTGAAAAATCACTGGAATTTTGAATAGTGTTTTACAATATCCTTGTTAAACTGGATTACAAATTCTTTTATTTTCCAGACATTCCATGTGATATTTTATGTGGGAGGATATCGTCTGGGGGTTCACCCCCACCGGCTCCAGCAGGGTCACCCATTCCTCAGGAGTAAGTTGTCAAGGGGCAGTTAAACTGCATATAAATTTATTGATATATCAGTACAAAAACAGCAATCATGGGGTAAATTTTGTTCACTTTGAAATATCTATTGGAATCTGATGTTGTTCAAAACAGCTTTTATATTACAATTGTTTGTTTGTAAATGGGGGCAAACCTGCTCTTATGGTATTTTTTATCACCCATACCAATCAAAACACGTAGATTATTATAAACATTGTGATTTAAGCTGAAGTACTAATTGTTGGATGTTTTACCTTTTTTATCTTTACACCAAACACATGACTTGATCAACAGAATTGTTGCTATTTGGTTATTTGGGCATATTAAACAAGCATACATGTATTAGTTTTTGTTTTCCCCTTTAGAACCAGAGCTACTAGGGCATGTGAAAGGGTTAAAATACTTGATGTAACATTACAGTACATGTATAAATAAAATTGTATATCATGTTATGAATGTACATATTTTATAATGCAACTCTTTTTAATCAGAACAAAATTTTGACATTTCAGTGTTGATGATAATGACATAGAACAAAATGAGGTCATAAATACAGAACCCCCAAAGACAGCCTCCCCAGAGCCCATTCACTTCTCCCTCCCCAGGATGGAGGACGATTATGAAGAAGAGGACAGTGACCTAGATACGGAAAGGTAAACTTACAGTGACCTGTAATTCCAGAGCTGCCAACCCTTACGATTTTGGCGTAAGGCGTACGAAATCAGCCTCTAAAATACGCCTTACGATTTTTCTCTATATTCTTCCGATTTCGGTTTTTCTAGTTCAAAGTTTATAATACCGGCATTTTCATAGCTGGCAGTTTATACTTTCTACTATTTAAATACATTCATAATCCTTATAAGGATTGCTTGTATCATCCTTACAGTTTTAGAAGGCCGATCACATTCATGTCAATGTTTTTAAGTAAAATAAATAAAAACATGCCTCAGATTTCATGTCCTTTTACAAAATATCTTCAGCGGCAGGGTGCCTAGGCGGTCTCTCGAACCCACCTTACTATTTGTCATTTCAAAAAGTTGGCAGCTCTGTAATTCCAAGGCTTCATTTTATGTGCAGGAACCTTTTAAAATGATGCTCATGTTTTTTTTTAATATGTTAATTTTTTTGGGGTACATTTGGATTTGCATAATGTTGATTTTAATTTATGAATTTCATATTATTGTAGACACTTTATGCCATTACATTGCTAATTATGTTTGTAAACTTTGTTTTAATTTTAGGCTTTTAGCCAAGACTGAAGAACATGCCCCCACACCTGTTGTTACAGAAAACACACCTGGATTTACTTACACACACAGCAAAAGTAATAAACCAAATACTGGTCAATTGGAGGTCAATGGACAAGATGATGCTACATTGCCCTCTAGAATTCTGAAAGAGAAACTAGACAACAATTCATTGTCCAGTCATGTCAATACCCTACCAGATGATTGTGATGATCTGTTTGAGGAGGACGACGATAGCTTAGAAGATGACTGGGATGAAGAGTTGGCAGAGCTGGACCACAAGGAATCATCTTTTATCGGACTGAATGAAAAGACCTCTGTCAAATTCCGGGAGGATAAAAATGTTACTATAGATATCACTCCAAGAAACCTAGGCTACAAAGTGGCTGACATGGAAACACATTCCAAGAAGAAGCGACATTCTCCACAGAATAGAGGGGAATTAGAGTCAGTATTGTCCATCATCAGTACAGGGCCACCAAAGAACCACATTCCTACAATTGAAATGAACCAAGATACTAAGCACACTGTTGAACGCAAAGCTAGTCAAGAGAACTGTGAAATCTCGAAGAAACCAAAACCTCTTAATTCTGCATTAAAACAGAGAACTCCAGGTCATGACACAAAGTGTGAAAAAAGATTGACTCATGAGAGACCCAGGTCTGCTAATAAGCCCTCCACCCCCGTCACAACAGTTAGTGTGGCCTATAGTGACATGAATGAGGTCAGGAGGAGCTCCAAATCAAAGGGCAGCAAGAAACGTCCAGAGAAAGATGTCGTCACCATGGTAGAGGGAGTTGTATCTGACAATGAGGAGGAAGAGAGTGTTTCCAAGGCCGATAAAGAGGGTATAACACCTGATAAACTGGAGTCCTGGATGCCAACAAAGTGTGTATCTGAACCCCCCAAGAACTATTATGAATTATCAAGAAGGTCCACATCTGTGCAGAGTCATTTCCGAGAAACCACTCCACAAGCATCAAACCATACGTACAAGACAACTAAAACAATTGAGTTCGATGAATACAAGCCAAGGGAAACAACTATAAAGAATGTGATAGATGCAAGTGGTCTGTTGAAGAGTCGAGACAGGGAGAGATTTGTAGGACTGGATGAGGAACACAGGGTCAAGGTCAGGCCGTCCAGTGAGCGACCTCATTACGAAGCTCCCAAAGAGAGGCTGACTAACAGGCCAAGCAGTGAAATGGTTTGTTAATTTTATTTATATAATGTAAGGCAAATATTAGAAATTAGTTTATTCCAATGGGTCATAATTCTAGCTGTAGACTTGCTTTTTCAATTTATCATGAAAAGTAAACAATAGTAAACGTGTGCTGCATTATGTGGATGCATGTGGCATATCTTTTTATCTAAAAAAAAACCTCTCAGATGTAATAAATAAACTTTTATATAATTTTTCAGTCACAAAAGATCAAATCTAGTCAAAACGGAGAACTGCCTGTTGGTAAATTGGGTGCTGTTGCAACACATCTTGATAAAGTAAAGTCTGTAGAAAAGAAGGTAAGCTGAGAAATATTTCTTCCATAGTAAACCTTTAACACTGAGTATTGGATTAGGACACATGTATTTCAGTGATTGGGAAGGCCAAAATGGTCAATGGGACTATGGCGCAACTGAAAAATTTTTGATGGCCATTTCATTTGAATGGGCCATAAATAATCTGAAGGGCCATTTTAAGTAATAACAAAGTGACAAACAAATATGAAATATGAGAGAAAACACATTTTAAAACCGAATCCGATTTTTAACCATGAAATGCAGCAAATTTATTGCTTATAAAACATATACTTTGTGTTAAAATAACGACAGTTTTGGAAAGGGAACAGCCCTACCATACAAATGAATGAAGTATAGCAACTCATGTAAGTCCTTCGTTTAACCGAAGTACTTTTTGACAGATTTCAACCAATGAGATTTGTTGTTTTAAATTGACTGCATTTAAAACGAAAGTAAAACAAGAAAGAAAGTCGTATGCAAAATATTTCCAAAAAACATTGCTAAAAATTGAATGCGCACCTTGGCGCCATGATTGATTGATTTAATGCGCCATTTTTCACTTCAATGCGACTATGGCGCATGGCGCAAGCCCTTCCCAATCACTGGTATTTAATATTTAGATTCTAGTCTTCATCTGAAAAATTGAATTGCTTTGTATTTCATTTCAGCATAAAAATATGAAAAAAGAGCAAAATGTATTCAAAAATATCTTGAAATCATTCAAAGGATAAAAAAAATCAAAGAGTTTTCCATTTGCCTAACAATTATTACATATTACATGTATAATGAGAAACAAAGAATCAGTCTTATTTGGTTTGGTAACATGCAGTTGGGTTTTATTTCAGATGCTTAGACGACCTCTCTCTGCAACACATAATCAACGCAAGTCTGAAGTGTCACAGCAGAAGGAAGAGTGTACTGACACACTGAAAGGAACAGTGAATGAAAAAGTCAATTTGTCACATAGCTCAAAACCTGAACTGAGTGAAAGGGAGAAAGAGATAGAAAATTTGATCAATAAACATCTACGCAGAAATGATGCAGCAACCCCAGTATGTAAACCAGAAGACAGTACGCTTCCAGAACCTGGTGCCTCAGACAACAAAATGACAGAGGAAATCCAAAGCAGCAAGATGGATGAGGAAAAGGAAACAGAAGACATAACACATGACCAGAAAGAAAGCGTTGAGGTGAAAGAGAGGCCACCTTCAGGAGGCAAGGTTAAGAGTGCATCCAGGAAGGTGAGTGTGCATCCAACAGTTTATACACATAGTAAATGAAGATTCTTTGCATTTTATGTGAATTTACATTGAAAAGACTGAAATGTATATATGAAAAAAGGATTGAGATTTTTTCTATATGTTTCAGCCAAAGAAAAACTATGAAGATATAGAAACATTAGTCAGTGGGACATACAAGTGTACACTCAAGGCTGAGAAGTAAGTGTATAATAAGTACTTGAATCATAAAAATGTCTACTTAGAGATTGATAAGAAGTCTATATTTGTGCATATTTGTACATTTTTTTTATATCATTAAAACTTAAGCTAAAATCTGAGAGGTCCAGTTGTAAAGGTTTTGCTATCTAGTTGTAAATTAGATAATAAAAACTTTTACGTTTTAAAGTTTGGCAATTTGAATACAACCAAAAGCTGCATGGTTCCTATATGGTTTATTTTTTTAATATATTTTGAAACACAGAAATCAGAAAATAAGTTTACCTGCTTTTCTCTAGATCAGCAGTTCAATCATGAACTCTTCTTGCAATTTAGTGCCTCTTTGATAATACATATTATGTACTCATGTAATATAAGGAATCTACAGCGTACTGCTTTGATAGTTAATTATTTCTATGAAACTTTGAAAATATAGATATTCAAAAGTATTAACTTTGTTTTTTAGTTTAAAGGAAAACAAAGTCAACAAAATAGTACTGAAAATGGCAGAAACTAAAGTCAATGCCAAGCTAACAGACAACTCAAGTAAGTTTTCATAACTGTAATTAGACATACCCCTGGTAATAACGAAATTTATTTTCAATATCATTTGAAATGCAAGATTTGAAATAAAGTACATGTGAAATTATAATCATATGAAAAAATGGTCCTCTCTGTTGTCTTGTACATATTATTGTACATGCCATAAGTTTATTACCATGTGTAATTACATGTATTAATAACTATGATATATTTTTAGAGCACTATGCTTCCTACTCCCGGAGTCGAGTGAGAACTGCCCCACTGCGTAGAGTCGCATCAGAACCTAAAGTCAGATACACCAAACCACTCTTCATCAATTCCAAGAATCCAGACGATGTAATGCTTATCATAATATTTTAATGATGCAAATATTAAACTCACCCTCAAATTCAATTTTTGAACAGTAAAAATTAGAAATTTAAACATGACAAATACCTTTATATATTATCTGAGGATAAAACCTTGTGTCCCTGTTTTCAGGACATCTTCACTGAGAATGAGATTGAGGCTCACCAGCTTCATCAGAGGTTGGCTGCTGCAGACGTATTCATCAGGCCAGAAACCCTAGAGAGGTGGGTCGCAAGTTTTTACACGACAACTAATGCACCTTTAGCATTAATACATTCATTTAATATCCCATATAATTAATATAGTTCTGTTTACATTGTGATTAAATTTTCTAATTTTAGAGCACTTTATCCTCCATCGGGGAAAACTTTGTACTATGATGTTGAAAACAAATTACCTCGCTCAACTTCAGCAAGGTTTGTACATGTATCATCTATTCTCTGAAATCACTACATGTGAAAATCAAATTGCATGTTACATTTAGCTGATATATTCTTCATTATTACCTTTTACAAAACTTTCCAGCTTATTAAGTCATCCTAAAGTCTGGCTTCCCGTGGAATATAAGCAGTTCAAGCTGGCAGAGAAAAACTTAGGTTGGTGAAACTCTTTTGTGTTACATTTTTAAGAAAGTAATACAAATTTTAAAAATAAAATGAACTGTGCAGATGCCTATTTTAACTTTCCTCATTCATTCCTGCATTTGCTTTATAGCATCATATCAATGTAAAACTTTCAGGAAATATCTGTTTCTATAGAGAAATACATTGTAAAATTACCTCTACAGATAGAGCCAATGAAATAATGCGCAGAAGGGAACTAGCCGAGGAAAGGAAAGCCCGTCTGGCAGAACTAGGATCAGCAGCCAAGAAAAAGAAGGGGAAGAAAAAAGGCGGAAAGAAAAAGGGTGCAGCATCGGGAAAGAGCAAAGCTGTGTGCTGAGTGCCTGAGTATATCTCTTATTTTGTGCCAAAGGCAGCTGTACTGATATAGATACCGTCCATAACTAAGTACTTGTAGCAATGCTTTGTTGTGTCAAAGACAGAAACTTTATAATTTACAGTTCCTTTCTTTAAGATGTATTATAGTAGAGCATAGGTGTTTTGAAATACTTTTAGTATATGGTGTCATAGGTGATCAATTTACAAACTTTCTTTAAAATATAACAGTTTATGTTGTGTAATGTTCTACTGGGTACTATAATTGTAGCTTTTACAAGGAGAGAAGATGCATCATTCTATGCTTTGATTCATACACACATGAAAAGAAATCAGTAGCTTTCATTGAGTTTAAAATAAAAGTCCTACTTTTGTGTAAATGATGGTACAAGATGGTGCCTTCTTATTCTTTTCTTTTTTTATACATGTATTAATATTTTTATTACTGGTACTTTTTTTCCAGTAAACACTTTAGCAGTATTTTGCAATAGTTTACACATACTGTGATACATGTCCTGAGTCTGAGTATTCACCTTGTCTGCCTTGATTTCAGTGTATATTAAATAATCGGGAATTTTGGTGATTTCTCATTGGTTTAGACGCTATTTCCTGAGATGTACTTCAGAGTGAGTTCATCTCAAATGAAGAGTCGGGAGGTTTATTCAGGTTTTCCCTCTTGACCAACTATAAATTTGCTTACGGTGTTTTCGACCAAATAAAACATGGCTTTAATTTGGGGTCAGAATTTTTCACTATTATGTCATTTTTAGCCCATGGACCTCTTGTTTTAATATGTTGGCATCATAGCAGCTTTATTGTACATACTGCTCTAAATCTGTGTAAACTTAGCATAGTTCTTTATAAGTATGCAGATTTAAGAAAGAATCTCATTATAATCTATTCTGCATTTTTACAGATGCAGGCACAGGGTGATTGGTAATATTTGTTAAATTCGTCATTAAAAAAATAAATTTTATTGACAGGGTGCTGATAACTTGCTGAAGTATTTTGCATTTATATTTTATTCTTAATTTTTTAAAGTAATATCTTCTTTGTAATCTTTAAACTTGAATGTAAATTAGTCAATTTTTTATCATTTCAAATCTAAAAATGATTTAATCAGTGATATTTTGTCATCTATAGACGACAGAAAATCTTATTGTTATATTCATGAAAATTACCCATGTGCAAATCTTTTAAATATAGTTTTATTATTCATAGAATAAGCTTTATTTTCTTGTTGCAATTTTGTTTTACAAAAACATGTCTTTAGTTTTGCTTGCCAGTTTAGAGTATAAGGACAAACATAATATGTGTCTGGGCAGTATTAGAATACACACATATTCAAATGATGATGATTTTATTTTTTATAGTGCTAGAAATGTATTACATGAATTTATTTTCATCTTTTTTTTTTTACAGTAATTAGAATAAAACTTTCTTTTATATTCTGCCTGTATATCACAAAACAGGGTTAGATTCTCCAGGGTTGATCACAGACTACTCTTTACACAATCTCTGGATTAGCTCTCCATGTTGTGGGAATTTCTGAAGCATATCTGTCCTCTTCCCTTGAGCCCAGTCTTTTAAATCCCATCCTTAAAAAAGAAACAAGTGACCTTTAGCTAAAATGCTAACCTGACCAACCTTCACCTCAGAGAGAGAGAGAGAGAGAGAGAGAGAGGTTCTTTGATAAAAACAGTTCACACAATCATTTGAGTTTTAAAAAAGTGCAAATTTTGAAATCCAGCTTGTATATTTTGTCCTGATTATTAAAGTAAGAGAATTAATCACTTTCAATTTTAACTGCAGGAGTTAACTCTGCCTAGGATTGTCCTCAAGGCTTAGGAACTTCCCCACCTAAAATGACACAATTCTCTAGTTACTCTGGTATTCCCCCTTAACCCTCTGTTAGGGGAGGAACTCGAGACCCCCTTCTATTTTTTAATGTCCCCTGCTATATGAGTGACAACCCTGCAGTATGCCATTAGGATTGGTGGAATACCTGGAATGACCACAGCTCCAAAGAAAGTATACTGTGTTCCTTCCATTGGCTCCACTGCGTACCACGTGTCATGGCGTACCGTTACTTGGTAACGATAATCAGCATTCTTCAAAGTATCTCCCAGAATACTCTCCGTAAGCTTTCCTTCATTGTCTATTTTATATATCTAGATGGAGGAAAAATTAATATAACCATGACTACTGATCTAAAAAGAAGTTTAAATTCAAAATCTAAAAATACATTACACAGTGTAAAGAAGTGTAGATTCTACACACCTTTGATGGCCCACCTGCGTGCCACAGAAAGATCTCATCAAACAGGGGTAAATGGAAAGACACATATTTGCCAGACTTTAAGAGGTAATAGATACAACTGCCACCATCCCTAGGTCCTTCAAATCTGAATATAAAAGGGGGTAAAACTACACCTTGTTTAATGCCCTTTGAGAAAAGAAAAAAAAAATACATTTTAGGGCATTGCTTCTTTGCAGTAATCTAATACGCATATGTAAGACCTGAAATAAACCCTGTACGTTGAATACATTGAATTTTGTACTAAAGTGAAATGGAATTACATGTACTAATATTGTTGATATTCTTTATTTCCAAAAGTGAATTCTACTCAGGTTGCACCTTTCCTTTTCTACATGGCAGATAGGCTACAATTTAAGTACATGCAATCTTGGTCCACTTGCTGTTCTTTATCATCCTATTTTTTAAGATTTACTTTTCTAATTACATGTATTTCTATGAAGAAAAAATTATCCCTATAATTGAGGTCCCAACCCTAACCCTGACATACTAACTTGTTAGGCTGTATAAATGTAACTTGTCTGTCAGTTCGATACTGCTCGGAGAAGAATCCGCCCTCGGGGTGAGGGGTCAGTCCCAGGGCGCGAACCAGTTGATCGATCTCTTTATCAGCAGACATATTCCGAGAAAATGTTACAGCGGTCACTGAAATAATCAGGTAATAAATGTAATGCTTGAAACATCGATAGAACGTTTCCATTCATCCGAAAAATGAACAAATTCTCTAAGGAGACAAACATTTGATTCTGAAGGCTGGGGGGGGGGGGGGAGATTTCTTAAATAAATACTAGTAATATGTCCTCGACCATGAAGAAAATCTGTCTTTGACTTGTGACCCAAATCAAAATACAGTTTTGGAGTTTTTATGGCGTTTTCCTTTTTTTTCCGTGGAGAAGAAAATGATAAAAATGCCCTTGATAATCCGATCAATGATTAAATTATCTATCTTTGACTGACATGATAATGAATAATTTGGCTCGAAAAATGCACCCTTCCCTTCAGAATCAATGACCGTCCCTTAACAAGGGTATGGACCTAAAATACTTATAGGTTGACTTCAGCATCGTTTAAGATAGATTTACAAAAACAACGGTTTGCTAGCAAATGTTCGTTATAATAGATTAAAAAGCTTGAAAAATACACTGAAAGTATGGATCAAATTAAAAGTTAAACAATAAAGATATAGCACTTAAATATTTGTATGCACATTTATAAATTTGATTCTTACCTTGACACCACCGTAACCCAAGGAAGGGGGGGGGGGGGTGAACAAACGTACGCACTGATTACACTTTGTCAGACACCTTAAATTTCAAGTTTATCTTTTTCGAGTCTACTGGGCCCCTAGAGGATTATCCATATTTTTCACTATTTCTGGTTTACCTTTTCTTAAAAGAAAGGGTGACCCTTTATTGCACGAAATTCCCTTCATTTAATTCTCTTATATCATGGTTGCTCGAAAGAACTACGCACGCTAACTCGAGATTCCCGCCTAAATTTTGCACCCATTTAATTCTATATTAAAAGCAATACAATGTATTGCCATAAAATGTTTGTTTTACAATGTATACAAAGAACAGTTTAATGGTAATTGATAAATCATTTTGATACCAGCACTAGATAGTAAATTATTCCTAATTCTAGCTCTTGAAAAAAGGGGAGTATATTTCCCTTTGAAATCGGACTTTCAAGCATCACCGTATTTTGAAAATAGTCTTGAATAGGATTAAATGTTCCTAAAACCTTTTCTTATGTGTATCGCAGATAAAATCAAATATATTATGTATATAAATGAAATGCAATGTTTTACTTGTAAACCGCCTTGAAATTGGTGAAAAAATAACTTTTTTGTAGTTTTTTGTCTATATAAACACATGCCCCCACCCCCACCCCGTGACACACAAAAAGCTTTGGTATGAATTTGTGAAATGACAGTCCATGTTACCTGTAAAAAGGAATTTTTGGGTCACGCGGGGGGATGGGGGGGGGGGGTGGGTGGGGGGTGTTAAAAGTACTTTTCTTTTTCCGTTGAAAAACACAAGTTTAACCAAAATTTTTAGAGTTATCTCTCTCTGTTTTCCCGAACAAGTAATGTTTTATGGAAATTCATATCTATATCTATAAAAATACTAAAAATCATTCAAATATGTTAACTTTTGAAAATTGACTTAGAGGTATAAGCGGGAGAACAATGCTATCGTTCGCACTTCTCTATTAAGTGGTTTCTTGACTGAGAATTTAATAGAATTTAAGTTCTACAAGTTGGCAAACTGTTATGAATCTGTAATATTGATTAAAAAATTCCATTTATAAAATATTTTAATTCGACTATTCAATCAATTACGTCAAAAACGCATGTAGACCGGTAACAGGAGCGTCGCACACACAATAACAAAATGTTGATAATTTCCATAAAACAAACAATACAACCATAAAATTTAGCAGCAAAGATCAAAATATGATGTAAATGATGTAAATTCTTACAATTGTAATTTTTTTCAATCCGAGTTCTGTAAACGCGTTGTCCATGATGCAAGACAGAGGTGTAGATAAGCGTTATCCGAGGAAATATTGAGGGGACATGAAATGTCATCGGTTAACTAGAAAAATAATTTCATGAGCTAAATCAATTTTTAAGTTGCATCTCAATGATCAATATTGTTTGCAAGGAACTATATTTTAAATTCTACTGATATTTTGTGTCGATATGTATGTTGGGTTTCTGATATTAAGCCGATTTTGAATGAGATGGTGTGTCACAAACTTCGCAGGTTCAACGTCACAAAGTTTTTAAGATTGGTAAAATGGCCAATTTTGTAATGCTGGTTGAAAAATTACTGTTGAAAATTATTTTAAATTATGCAAGATGTTGCCATGTTATTAAGGAAAAGACCTCTAGACAGAATTTTAACTTGCGATGTCTTAAATTTTAATAACAATTGCCGTGTCATATATATGTACTACACGTGGCTATATGTCACAATTGAATTTAACGGCAAAAACGTCATATTTAAATGCTACACTTCACCAGATACCTTCATTTTAAGAATTCATTTTTCTTATTCGGCACCAAACAACATTTAATACAAAATGTGCAAAATCAGAACTTTATTTAGAAATGAAAATGAATTGATTCTGTAAAGAAGTGTTTGTTTTAGAGGATTTTTACAATGTCACACATTGTCCAAAAGTAATAAATCTGACTATAGTTGTAATAAATGTGGTGATATAAAGCATATGTGTAGTCATTAAAAGTAGACATATTAAAAATTAGAGGATATTTATGAAATGTGAATCTTTTCAAAAAGTTATCGGTATGTTCAAAAATAATTTCAATAGAAAGGTGACAAAATCCTGACAAAAAATAAATGTCAACACAAATGTCACACACGTAAAAATATGGCGTTTTGACGTTATTACGTCTAATGCATCAAAATGTAATCTAAAGCGTCAACAGATTTTTTTCTTCAAAATACTTAGTAATACTCTTATTGCTAATGAGCTTGATGTGGACCTATTATGATTAATTTAAAGAATATTTTTTTTAAGTTTTGAAAGTCGTATTTATATATATAAAAGCAAAATATGTGCAGTGTATACTAGTACACTGTATCGGTATACCGGTATATCCTTGTCAGAATCTGTACAAAAGTATCATTCATAGTTCGAATTAAGACACGACTAAAAAAATTGCACAAACCAACATTTATGTAAGGATATGATTTCTAACTTGAATTACCTGATAGTGATGTGTGTCAACTCTATTTGATGCTGGTATAAACAGTTCTTCATGGCGAGATTACATTGAATAGTCCAAAGTGAATAAGGGTTAGGAATTGTCGGAGGTAAGTATCAGATTTTCACTACATAATTTGAAAATAAGTTGTGGGTTTTTTTTTCTGGTCATTAACCCCGTTACATTGTATGTTATAAAATAAAAGTTGTATTTATTATATTTAAACAATCGTACAATTTACTGAAAACAATTAAACTGGTATGATATGGAATTGTTTTGAATATATCTCAAGTAAATAAAAAGCATGTAAATTTAAAACGCGATGTCGAACAACTTTTGTTATCTTTACCAAGCTTTTTATTAAATGAGGAAACCATGCTTATATTTTCATCCGGCAATTGTATGCAAAAGGGCAGTGAATTTTATCACCTGTGTTTCAATGAACTTCATTATATTATTGGAGGCTTTACTGGGTTTTTATTTTTCCTTCAAAAGATGTCAAGAAAATGACAGTTTTTCAAAAGTAGTCAAACTCCATGATCAAGGGGAAAAGGTCAAACTGTTGGTACCCAATGGAAAGGTTTTATAACAAGGAATATCCGTTTGCATGGTCTAGAAAACAGGTATGGAGGGCCGTGCCCCCCCCCCCCCCCCGTAATTTTGCCGATACATAAGTAATTTTAGGTAAGTACGGATGGACAGAGCAAAAACGGTATGCCCTCGATTCCAAATAACTAGGGCATATATTTTATGCAGATTTGTTCTAAAATGGTAGAGAATTCAAGAATTATTTTGCTTCGGCCATGTTTCGGAGTGAACTTCTGGAACATTAAAATATTTTAAAAATAATGAATAATAAATATTAATAAATAATAAAATATTTCAAAAAATAGTTTAGACACTGGCTGAATAAGCCTCACTGCATAGGTTGCATCAATTGGTTCATCAACGTACGTAGCTTTGACTAGAATTAAAAAGGCTAAGAACATAAAGTGTAAAGGTGGGCGATGTACACTAATTAGGCCTTTATAGACCGCAACTTTTGTTAGGCGCGTGCACTTGAGTTGACTGCATTGATGAAATAATATACCGCTCAAACGTTAAACAAATGACTCGCGACTCGTTTTAAACAATATTCTCAAGAACTAACAAACGGGAATTGGGCACTCTTTGATTTATCGTGAGAACACTTCCTTTCGCTCACGTGAGATAAATATGGAAGTAGGTCGCTAATCGTTTACCAGGTGAGCTAAAAGTAAAACGATCTCGATTTTCAAGTGTTTTAGATTTTTAGTATTTTGAAATTTGTTTATACAATGCTATGTCCATGGACATATATGATACAGATAAATCTAAAATCTAGGAAAAATGACATGATAAACCGCTGCTTGATTTTTATCAAGAAAGATTTACCTGGACGAGTTCTGGGTCGATTAAACGCTTTCCGTGACGATGAAATCTGTCACAGCTGTAAGCAGATAAACGAAGCTGGAGATTACAAGGCGGTGTGCAGTTTTATCCATTTTTCTGGTAATATAAATTTGAAGCTGTTTCATTGAATAACGAGAAAGAAATCTAAAGAGTAATTATTAAAATTTGTATTTTACCCCTGTAAATATAAATCAAATTGATAGAACATGTAGAATGTTGAAAATCCACGTGAGGAAATTTGTACTTTCGGTTTCTACACAGCATTGTTTCAAGAGCTCTTAAAGTATTGAGTTAATAAAAATTACGACAGTTAACTTTTATATTTATTGTAGGTCCTATTTTATTTTTTTTTGACAATTATAGATTGTTCTTGGCGTGTGTATGCCTTCTTTCCTCGGATTATTGCGGCGAACTTTCACGACTATGAGTCAATCGGGGAGCTATTCCGTGGCTTTTGTTACAATTGACAAATTGGAAACAGCAAAGAAATTGGCAGCGTATGTCTGTATCCACTTTCTCTATACCCGATTTTGTTAACCAGAAATAAATACACTAAGCTGACTAAGCAAAGTACATAAATATAATGAATGAAAATATATAAATATTTGTTGAAACTGTATTATATTTTCATCAACAGTGGTTTGGTCAAGGAGAAGCATGCAGCATGTGTTAACATCATCCCCGGCTTGATATCTGTGTAAGCATTCTTTGGGAAAAAAAATCTATGAATTAATAGTTATATCATATGTTCTCTCTAATTCTAATTCAGATGAATAAGTAAGTAAGTAAGTAAATTTTATTTAAAGTGGGCACAACAAGAAATAAATAAATACAAATGAGTCTATTTGCATTTTGTTCCAGTTATGAATGGGAGGGCAAGATCAATGAAGACCCAGAGTTGTTGTTGGTATGTTCCTTTCTCTTGACAATGTTTATCTTGAAATGAATCAACTTTTTAAATCAAAACATATTGCTCATTTTCTTTTCCCCCCACTTATTTGTTTAATGACATTTTTTGGTTTTCATGCAGAAAATTAAAACAGCAACTAGTAAAGTGGATGATGTGATCAAATATGTTAGGTAAGCCTGAAATAGAAAGCTTTTGATGTCTATGTGCATGCTGTCAGTGCAGATCTTTTGAATATTTTCACATTTCCTGCATGGATATTAACCAATTATATGCCAATACAGCATCTTGAATACCTTTAACAGTTTCATGTATTTTATTGCCTTTGAATCAGATAATTGTCAAATATTTACACCACTAAGAATATTGTACCCTGTATCTTATCGTATAATTAATAATATTATGATTTTTTATGATTCTATATAAAAATGAATATAAACGATGAAATGTGTGATTTTATCTGCAACAGCTATAGATGTCAATACCCACACAAAAATAATCAAAGACAGCATTTCATCTCCAGTTTTCAAGAAACTAATGATCATATTTATTTTGTTTTTTTCTTTTCAGGGAGAATCATCCATATGATGTTGCTGAAGTAATTAGTTTTAAGGTAATGTACATTTCAGATGACAGTCAATACATGTACTGTAAATCACTTTTTATTCACGAGAATTTTATTTTCGCGTAATTAAGCTTTCATTCTCATGCATAATAGTATATCTTAAGATTTCATTGAGAAGTAACAACAATATTCATGAAAATTATGTCTCACTGATAAAGAGTAAATGACAATCTCGCAAAAATAATGTGTCGATCTACAGTAATTTATCTATAGGGTTAGATTCCTGAATTACAAGCAAGAAGCTTAAATGTAAATGAAATTTTCCGAACAGATTTATTTTTTGATATTATATTTAGATTGATAATGGAAATGAGCCATACTTGAAGTGGATTGATGAAGTTGTAGGAACTAAACCTAAATAGATCTTATGTAAAACATCAGCAGAAGACAACCCCTTTTTGTGCATGTTCATCATTGTAAAGGTGTATTAGCATTCTAGGGATTGAAAAAAACATGAATGTTAACATAAAATTTATTTTATTATAAACTTTAGATTGCACTATCTCTCTATTGCAAACCAAGGTTGCTGTATTTTATGTAAGATTTGAATTATTGTCTAAATAGATTATATTTTTTGTGCACGGCTTTTAAAGTTTGTGCAGTGTGCCATTATCTCTCTGTAACCCTTTCTAGGCTTCAAAAGTCAATAAATGTATGAAAAATTTCAACAAATCTGTTGAACTTGTTATTTTATAAAGTTTATTTCATGAACTAAAATTGAAGACAATACAAGTACTCTACAATGTTTGATGAAGCATTTGATTAGAAATCACTTATCCAGATTGAAATCAATATTACAGTTTATTCAATAGAGATGTTTACACAGTCAATCAACTTTAATATGCAAAATGTTTTTTTGGCACCTGGTTAAGTTCAGTACCTTAACTACCTTTATAAATTTGAAGTCTCTAAATCTTATCTTACGTATTGTGTTTACTAAATACCATACAAATTACAATGTACGTAAAATTCATATGTAAAATATTAAATGACACTCTGTAGCCAAGGTACAGTAATACACAAGGGCCAAGGTCATTCCATGTTTTTTCTGTGTTAAACATCTGCGGATGGATTGGTTTTGAGATATAAAATTCAAAACAAACAAGTTTAAATCAACAAAAACAAGTCTTTGAAACACAATTAGTTCTCGTGTGATCAGCATCTCTATTTTTTTAAAGTTGTGAACCAATTTCTTTTAGACCTGGTTTATACCAAGAAATCCTATAAAATTGTGCTTAAAATGCGTTTTTCCCTTTGTTTTTTTTTCTTATACAAAGATGGGCTTTTGAATTAAGTGAGGATGCTAAACTAAAAAAAATGGAATGGCCTAATTTACAAACCTACACAATTAAACCCTCTACATGTACTGCTAATGTATTAATACAGCTCATATATTTCCAAAGATGCTAGATTTTCAAGTTAAACAAATAAAGATGCATTCAATTTGATAATTTGCTTTTTTAGTTGAATACTTGTGTTTACTGTACAAGTATATCCATAAACGAAAAGAGGTCAAAGTTTAGAATGTTTGAAAGCATCGAACATTCACAAAAACAATAAAGTATTATATAAATATTGCATGTAGCTACGCCTCGGTTGACAATGGTTTTCTTGGGGTGAAAATTTTCAATGTTACACTCAACTACATGCAATATTTATTATATTATACTGAATGTTTTATACAAATACATATTGCAATGAACCGTGCGCGCATAAATTCCGCGCAGTCGCTATTTTTTGTAATACCACCCGTCGTCAAGCAATGTTGACTGTTGCTACGCAGGAGGGCGTGGCTTCATTATTCAGCGGGTAGTAGTGTTTTTTATCAAATGTTTCTCGACGAATCAGATTCAAGTAATTTACATGAAAGTATAATATAAGTAATTCAAACAGTAGTAAATTCAGATATCCGTAACGCTATACATTTTTCGGAAGTGATCAGTTATGTCATAACTTGATCATAAGGAGGTATATTTTACAGTTTAGCTGACTACTCAAATTGAAATATTTTCACAACGCTTTTGTCTCCCTGAGTGATAAGCAGACGGTCTTCTTTGTCATCATATGCTACCGCGCGTGGGTAGGACACTTCTTCACGTGATATAATGGTTCTCAATCGGTCTCCCTCTGGAGACACCACTTGCACACTTTTAGCATGGTTTCTACAAACGTAGAGATTGCCTTCACGGTCTAAAGTGATGCCTGCCACATGACTAAGATCGATTGTGGAGTAGGTGTAGCAATGTTCAGAGGTCTCCGTCAAACACGTAATACACCCTCGGCGCTCGTCCGACACGTAAATCACCGTACCAGCGTTATTTGACGTCACGTAGATTGGGCGCGAAAATAACGGACTTCCATCATCGTCCACGCCAATGGCGGCCAGCTCACGCCCGTCTGAAGAAATCACCTTTAATGCTGGAGGTTTTCCGTCATAGCAAAGTGCAAAGAACTTTCCACGAACATGCTTGATACCAAAACAAGCCTCTTCTGTTGTAAAGTAGTCGGACATCTTGATGGAGTCCCCGATTGACAGCAGCTGAATGCCATGCTCCTCCGGAAGTGTGACGGCAATCTCGTTTTCGCCGACAACAGTCACGTCCCAGGGTTTTGTTGTGAAGAATATGCTGTTCAAAAGCCGGTACGTCTTACTGAAGAGCTTCAGTTTCCGGTTGGAGCGATCTACAAGCGCAAACCTGCCATCGCTGAGAAAGGCTGCTCCTGTGTACCAACACTCTTTAATGTCGTCCTCCATTTTGGCGTCAAACGATTTAACGAGTTCGGCGTTTCGTCCCTTGAGTGATAGTGTGGACTTGAATTGCTTTCCTTGTTCTATAGACTTTTCAATGGTCACGGTATTTGGAAATGGCTGTAGTTTGGATGGCGAATGTCGTGCATTCAATTCTCCATACTTCTTAACTTTATTCAGCAGTGTTTCAATATGATCGTCAATTTCGAATACGTACTCACAATCTTGGATTTTTCCTCGCAGTCTCCCCATCTCCTCTTCATACCAGAGACACTCCCGTTTCACCTCTTCTATAGTTTTAATCAGTTTAGAATCTGAACCATGATTTTCGGTGACGTTCAACAAGTCATGTGCGTTTGTCACGGCTGTCTGGATCTTCTTGGACTTGTGAATCTCTTTCTCCATTGTCTTGGTCTCCACGGCATGCATATCACTCAGCTCTTTCTTTATGGCTTTCTCCAGTTTGTCCAAAATATTTATGACATTAATGCGAATTTGAGCAAACTCTTCTATCAGTTTCGATTTTTGCTCGTCAAGACTCAACAGTTTGTTAGTTCTGGCAGCAATGATTTTCTCTATATGATCGTTGTATTCGTCTAGATTCTTTTTGAGGAATTCTGGCGTTTTATCCAGACGACTCTGTTTTACCGCGTCCATGACGGATACCACTCGGTCACAGCGCCGGTGTTCCTCGGCCACACAGTTAGGACAGCACAGCTCTTTGTCCACCATGCAGTACATATCGAGGGTCTTACCAAGGTGTTTCTGACAAAATTCTTGCTGCTCTTGAAGTAAAGAAATGTGCTTCATAAACTCTTCCTTACTTAGGACAGTGTGCTCCATTGAGACACGCATTCCATGATGGACTTTTGCGCAGTTTTTGCAAAGCCCATCTCGACACTCCTTGCACCAAGAAACCACTTCGGACTTGTCTCCGTTGCGCGTGCAGGGACCGCAGGTTTTCTCGCCTCTCTTCAGAAGTTCGACGTCTAGGAGATCCAGGAGGAATGTGTTCAGCGGGAATTTTGTCGTCCAGTTTTTGGCGGGCTGTGACGAGAACTTGGACACGTCGATAGCTTTACTACACGTTGGACATATATATTCTGTTGGATTGGCTGTCTGTCCTCCTTTTTTGACACTGGCTTTGGCAATGTAGTCATTAATGTTTTTGTAAAGACAACTCTCGCAGTAGGAATGTAAGCATGGTAAGGTCCGGGGTTGGGTAAACCACTGATTACATAATCCACAAGTCAGAAACCTCTCATTGATCTTTATTTCCCCGCGTCCGGTCTTTGCCATCTTGAATTCTTGTCCTTAATTTCCGTCAGATCGATTCTGCAGTGCTAATCTATTGACAATTTCTTTCTTTATTTCTTTTGCTTGTATACAAATCTGTTTTGTGACATCGCTATAGGAAACGCTGTTTTATGTCTCTGATTGAATTATATACACGGCTTTAAATAAAATGACGTTTCCTTCAATAGCATCTCAATATGATTTCGCTTGAATGATCATTGAGCATAGAAATAGATTTCATTTCATTGTTGAATTTTAAATACATTTAAATATCTTTTACTTCACTCCGCAGAGTTAGGTACCAGCGTTTCCGATATTTATTATCAAACAAAGAGCTATCCCTATTTGATACATAATGCATTTTCAAAGAAAAGAAAAATAATTTTTATATTAAATATATTTCTCTTATTTTAGTTTTACAAATCGTTTGAATTATATATTTAAAAAATATATCACGACCTTTTTCGAAGCTATAACCATGAGGTTGTTTCAGAAGTTAAGTGATTGTTGAGTAAAAAGGAAAACGTAAACAAATAAAAGCACATACTTATGATAAATACAAATGAAACTTTTTCTTTTCCAACCATTCTACAGTTTGCTTTGAATACTGTGTCATTATAGAGTGATGCATGTAATTGTATAGCTATGAAATACAGTGGACAACTTGTAAGTACATGTACTTCACGCCACCTAAGGTATTTAAAAGCTTTAGTACAAGTACCATCTTCCCGATCAACCATACCTCGTTTCAGTATGAGTATGTATAAATGAATGTTTGGAAATGTGTAATTGTGAATTTATTTTAATATTATGAGGAAAGGGGGGCATAACTGTGAAAAGAAGTTTTTCTGCCCCTTTGGTCTAATTTCCATTGAAAATTGGTATGGAAGTGGACTTTATGATTTTTTTTTTCGATTTGTTAATTTTATTTTGATGAAATGTGAGATGGTAACTAAAAATTCCACACAACTAACATTACAACTAGAAAACTTAAAAATTATCCAAAATTCTTGAGTAGGTGGTACTATATGGCTTTCATATTTTACAGGTGTATTTCTTGTGACGAGACTTTTCTTGGGGTACCGCCCAGTTTGACCTTTTGACCTTGAAGTTTAACCTTATGACATATTTCTAGTTTCCCTGTACATGCATTTTGTATGATACTAGTGTATGATTTCAGCCAAACCCTTACCCAAGGGCATATATTCAAAAATTAGGGAACCATGGACCACATCATTCTCCTACCGATGTAGAACAGTTGGACTCGGGGAGAATGATATGGCCCATAAATCCCTAGTATTTAAATATTATAAGAACAGTTTTTTCAGGTATGTTTTGTACAAAAGGATTGATCAGTTCTTACTCTCCCTTTTTTACGAGGACGATGTCTCAAATATTATAAGAACCTCCTTTTCTACATAATCTTAGTTAATATTTCTTAGGCTCCCATTATCCCTATATACCTCATTATAGTTATGATGAATCCAAAATTTGGACCTTTTTCTGAAAAAAATATAGCACATCCTCACACAGATTTTTTGCAAAAGAAAGCTCATCTTTAAATGTATATTTTTGTGTTTATTTCGTTGTCATATATAATGTACCTATTTTCATTTCAATTTAAACA